TATAACATGCATACCAAGAGACAGTGTTATTGTGGACAAATGGAACTTTCTGCCACTTCAACTCTTTGATACGTGTGAATCATCACAAGTTTATTTGTGGCTTAGTATAATTTTTCTTTTAGGATATCTATGTCACAGAATTCGGGCACTTACTCAAATAAGCCAAAACAACCACACACTGTTATAATGATTTGATGGAATTGTGAGTTATCATTTAGGCTTTAGTTTACCAGTCAGTACTTTACTGTTTTGTTATAAAAATCCTTCTTGTTTCCTGTCTTCATTTCCTTTTGACACACTCAGGCAGCCTACCAATTTCAAACGTTGCCAGTTTCTATAAGTTAATATATACTCCCCAAACATCGAGTCAGTAAACTAAGGGGAGAAAAAAGTAACTGTCATTCTGGAGAAGTTCTCTGTGAATCATACAAAGTCAGAAAACACAAACACCAAGGCAAATAAATTGGGAGTCATCCAGGTTCTTCGTTCTCACCTCAAGTCCAAACTATCATTAAGCCCTATGAATTCTATGTTGGTCAGAGCAAAAAATCTATTTGTCATGTTCACTATAGTTCTATCAGTCCACATCACAGAGCCTGGAATAAAACATGTGCTTAATAAAGTATTTTTCAATAAATGAATAAATCATATCTGGAAAATAAAAAGGTTAGGAGGAAGATATCTGATCAAGTTACTTTGTATTAAAAATTCAATTTTCAAAATGGAAAAGAATCATCAATAAAAAACAAGTTTAAAAATAAACTTGAATTTACAGCAATGGTAATGAAGTTTCAAGGAAAAAACCCAAACTTTTCTTTTGCACCAAGAGGTTGCTGAAGTAAAAGCAGTGATTATACCTGGCAAAATTAGAGATTCATTCAGAAGGCAGAAATCACAATTTGAACTTGGAAAGTTTAATGTAAAGAAAGTAACTATTATAGGGGATTGAAGTAATGAGGGATTGGCTAACAATAAACAAAAGAACTACAAAGATTATAGGAATGACAAATGTAAGGAGCATCCACTACCCCAAGGGCAGAGACAGAGCTCCTCCCACTCCCTCAGGTCTGAGATGCAGATCTTGTTGGAGGGCACAGCCATGGCTCACTGAATGGCAGAGAAGTAGCTGTGTTGAGGCTGGTGTTATTTGCTGGAAATCCTCCTCCTAGGGTGCTAGGGAATACTGTTCATTGGGAGGTATTTCACCTGAGGCCCTCCATTATGAAACCAACTGAGGTGGGGACTCCTGAAACTGCTACTGATCCCAATGCAGTGCAAGAGCCAGGCCCAGGAAGCGTTCATGCTGCAAGCGCAGCCTGTCAAGAGAGCACAACTATAACCAAGAACAAAAAGCCTTTCCCCTGTAAAGTCCCTCCAGAGCTATTGAGGAAACCTAACATTGTGCCAGCTGGCAAAAGAAAAATATTAAAGGACTCAGCTCCATTTCCAAAACAGCATGCAAAAAAGGTCTACAGATGGTCCTTGACTTACAAAGGTGCAAAAGTATAAACCATACTTTGAATACCCATAAGATTTTCACTTTCAGCACAGTATTCAATAAGTTACATGAGATATTCAATACTTTATTATAAAATAGGCTTTCAGATAGATGATTTTGCCCAATTGTAGGCTAAAGTTTAAGTGTTCTAAGCACATTTAAGGTAGGTTAGGCTAAACTATGATCTTCAGTAAGTTAAGTGTATTAAATGCAATTTTGACTGACAAATGCTATTTTCAATTCACAGTGAGTTCATTGGGCCATAATCCCATCAATAAGTCAAGGAACACCTGTATCAGAAGCTAAAAGTCAATAAATTATTAACTGGCACAGTCCACCCCTTGGCTAATCAGCTTATAATGCTATCAACTTCTTTCATGGTTCACATTAGTGTCATAAAGTTTCTCCTTTTATCTAACATGAAACCTTCTTCTACAAAGAAAGTTACAGGGTTTTTTGTTTCTTTCTTTTTAAGAGCACTAACTGTGGCACTAGACAGTCTTGGTTAAAATCCCAGGTCTATCACTTTTAACTGTAGTGCTTTAACCAAGTTACCTGTTTTTTTGCCCCTGTTAAAAAAAAAAAAAATGGGGAGAATAATATCTACCTTGTAGGGTTGTTGTAAAGAGTAAATCAACTAAGTGAAGATTAAATCAACCAATCTGTATGAGACACTTAGAACCCAACCTTGCACAAATCAGTAAATATTAACTGCTATTATTTGACTTGTAGAGGTAGTGTTGAGTTTATTTGCTGTTTCCCCACACTACAACGAAAGCTCCCTCCATAAAGGCACAGAGATTTTGTCTGTTTTGTTCTCACCACCTAGAACAGTTTCTGGCCCGAGTAGGTGCTCAAAAAATGCTTGTTTAATGAAAAAGTACATGACCAATCACAAGCCCTTCTACATGAAAAGCCACTAATAGTAACTGTTCAAAGTCTTAAAGATGACATATAATTTAGCAACTGAGAAACAGTCAATAGGGAGGGGGGAAAAACGAAAAAAAAAAAAATGATGTCAATCTCATCTTTAAGAAGACCAATAATCAGCAACACATTCTTTCAGTGTTTTAACTTGCCTGGCTCTGGCATACACCAGCGGTAAGGCCTGGGAAAAAAATCACTTCACTTGACCCTCAGTTTCCTTTTTTCAGGGGAAATAACTACTTCAAAGGACTGTTGAAACATTAAGAAAAAAAAAGGTGTAAACGACAGCATCTATAATAAAGTTTGCACTCTATTGAGTCTAAATATCACCTAATGTACCCTCTGGTTTTCTAGTTTGAGTACTATGTAATTAGCTTTCACTGTTCACTCAATCTAAGTTTTAACAGAAAAAGCTATTCTAAAAGGGTTTCAATAACAAGAGACATGGCACAGTTTGCTTCATCAGCATGGCAAATTCTGTAATTCCCCCAAACCTTCATTCTAAGAATTTCTGTGAAAAGAATACATGATTGTGTCCTTTACCTGAAGGTAAAATAAAGCATCCAAGATATATCTAACTTACATATGTAATTTAATACAGAACCAAAAAGACCAAGTATCTGACAATAGGTTAAACAGTGAATATTTTGAAAAGTGACCCTATTGATAAGACAACCATCTCAGTTAGCAGAAGAGAAATAATTTATTCACATTTTCATAAAGTTCTAACTTTCTAGAACTTGATTTTCATTAATTCCTCTTAATTTCCTCAAAACTGAAGTAAATGCCCAGTCAAAAATTAGCACATAATACGGGTTATAAAAACACTACTATTAGCAATCTGTAGTGGCACCAATACACATACCCTATTTTTTTTTACTACTTCACGTAGTTGTTGGCAAAGCTCAAATCCATTCTTAAATTATAGTAACAAATAATTTTATCTTTGCCTCAAAGTAGAAAGTGGAGATATCTATTTTTTTGCAGTGCTAGAGTTCAGTTTAAGAAACAAAGTCTTTCTAAACATAACAGAATCGAAACACAAGTTTCACTAAAAATAATACAAAATCATGGATGTTAAAACTCGACTAGACTTTATCTACTATAAGCATCACCAGTCTTATAGCAATGTAAGTATTAATATTTGAAGCCTACAGATTAAGTTTTCAAGATTTGTAGACTCCACAGATCCCTGTTGTTCTAGCTGAGAACACCTAGACACAGAGAGGTTAAGTGACCAGTTTCCACTCTCTCTGTCAACACCAAGTCCAGAGAGTGCTGATTAGAACTGGTTTTTTCTACTTAACAACAACAAAAAACAGAAAGAAAAAAAATTTCCTTATTGGAAATATCATTTGAAATACTGCCCTTCCATTTAGTATCATGTGATCTATACTATCATCTTTTTTTTTTTTTAAAGATACACTAGGGATCACACGTTCCAGTTCTGCCCCCTTCCCATTACCTCCTTACAAGAGCAGATCAATCATGAAGGAGTTGATGGTAGTGTGTGTCCATAATAATAAACACCACCATTCACTTAAGTCTTTATTGGAAATCTTTGGGATGTGAGACCACCACCAGCTTACACAAGAGAAAAACACAAACTCGGTTACTGACAGCAGGAATGATGAACTACCCAACTTGAGTTAAAAAGAAACAAAGTATGCCACTACACTGTATCTTAATAACAACGGAATCTTTTTGTTAAAATTGTATTCTCTTTCCCCAGTTTTACACACTCATTTTGTAACATATCTTAATAAACCTGATAGGTATTTCAAGGCAATGTTTGAGTCTGGCTGAACTTAAGCATCCCCGTGACAGTTCACTTTATACTTAGTAACTTGCTAGTCACCTACGGTTAACAAACGTTTCATATGGTACGGTTTTTAAAGCTTTTTAAAGTGTTAAACACTTGAACATTTTTAACCCAGACGGGGGAAAAAAACACCTCTAACTAAATAACCCACATAAATAGGAAAATGACTTTAAGCTTAACTCCAAACACAGATACAAATAAGGCAAATGGAGAGAAACCCATCACTATTCAGGAGGCAGAAGAGTCTCCCCACACAGACACACAATGTAGAGGGGGTGAGGGTGGAGGGAAGGCTCATAAACTTGAGGGGTACTGGACAAGTCAAGTGTGATTCCTCGCGTTTTCCGCATTCTGCAACCCTCATCCCAGAAGACCCCAGCATTTCTACGTGCTGTCCAAACCTAACTGCTAGCAGAAGAAAGGGCTGAAAGGCCAGGCCGTGCCACTCAGGGACGACGAACCTGCGGCAAGAAACCTTTTCCACCCCCAATCGAAATCGGAGCAATGGGTGTATTGCTGAAAGGACTTCTTAGGAAGGTTCCCTCAGACAAAGGGCTGCGAGTCCGCAACCATCCCCAAGCTCGGGAGCGGGGACCGAACAGCCCTGGGCCCGCATCCGCGCAGCCAGCACCCCCGCGCTGAGACGGCGCCGGACCACGCCGCCCAGACGCCGGAAGTATTCGGAGACCCCCACCCACCCGGCCAGGACTGACCCTCTCCCCAACCCGTACGCCCGCGACCCGAGCCCCTCACCCTGGTGATTGAACAGTCTCCATATCCTGGTGAAGAGAATTCCCATTCTCGGGCAGCGGACCCCCCCTCCAGCCGCCCGGGCCGCCTGGCCTCCCCTGGCTCAGGCTGAGGGGGAGGAGAGAGAAGCGCTGGAGCCTCCGCCTCTGCTGCTACTCCCGCGCTGGCCGCCGGCCCGCTTCCAGGGAACCGGAGGGAGGCCAAAGCCCAGGCCGCCCTGCCGCGCGCGAGGCCCCGCCGCTGCCGCCGCAGCACTCGCCTGGCTCGCGGACATCGCCGCCGCGTTGTCTGCAACGAGCCTCGCGGGCCACCGTCCTCCCCCAGCTCTTCTCGGGCGGCAGTGGTGGCGGCAACCACGCGGGCGGGGGAGGTGAAGGGGCGGGGCGGGGCGGGACGTGAGTGCGCAGGCGCGCGGCGGAAGGGGCGGAGCCTGAGAAAGGGCGCCGGCCTGGCCCTGGCTAATTTGCATAACCCGGCCGCCGGGGCGCATTGTGATCCCGGACAGAGGCTGTGAGGGCGGCGAGTTTGGGCAGGTGGTGCTCAGCGCTGTTGCGTTCCCTCTGGGTTTTTATGTTTTTCCTGAAACTCCTCCCTAGAGCCGTAACGTAAACATGTAATTGAGTACTCAGTGCCCATCCCCGACCTTTTCACATACACTGCACCTGAAGTCCCATGTCTTGGCTCTGGGTCCGTGAGGGAAGATGGTATTTCCTTTGGAGCCTCTTACTTAGCTGAAGTCAGTGGCCTTACCTAGGCACTTACTCGTCTTAAGGCGATTTTTGTGCCTCAGGGCTCTTACTTGTGATCTCCTTGGACTCTCTCAGGTCAATCTTGTCCAAAGCAACAATTTTGATCAAATCACTCCTCAGTTTAAAAACCTTTAGTGACCACTAAAGTTCCATCCCTTTCCATTTTCCTTAACTTTGGTAAAAAGGAAGAGGAAGAAAAAATGTAGGGGAGTTTTATAAGCTATTTTGAGTTACTTTGGACCCTTATCCCCAACAGCTAAATGAAAATAAGCAAAATCAACAATAATCTATACCGTTCCACCTTACTTCTAGCCATACACTATCCTATCTCAATATATAGAAAAGTAATTCTTTGATTTCTTTTGGGGCTGGTTAAAAAGCCAACTTTTAGAGGAAACATAACATGAAGAATAAGAAAATCATTTTAGTAATCTATATTAATTTATGGATTATTATGTCTGGACTTACTAAGGTGCTCTATAGGCTGTTTAGAAAAACAATATTGCTTGCATAACCCATTTGCATTAACTCTTTAATATTTACATTATTGCACACTGCAGATAATGCTTAGGCAGTTCTAAGACATTTTGCAAACTCCCACACATCTCTGTCAATTTATGAAATAGATGTCAAAACCATATCAATTTATGAGGTTAGGACTTCATATTTTACAATCTATCTTAAGAAGATGCTCTCCCAGATTATTTTCCAAGTGTCTCTTAAGAAAGAGTGAATTTACCTAATACCATCTTGCCCAACTATAAGATCTGTAGGTGAAATACAAATTTGGAACTGCTGTAGAAGTAATTGAGACTCTTTATTGAGTGGTGTGAAGCTATTTGTGAAACAGACTCCTGAGACCTTTTAAAGAGTAATTTATCCATGAGTATAGTGATGTACAAAATGTCATTGGATAGACTTCTGCTTCCAGACATGAGAGAGTGGGATGGTGTGGATTTACCCTCCTACCATTGACAAATAGAAAACTGGAAAAAATTTAGGAAACAATTGTTCTCAGATATTAGAAAACACAGCACCAGACTGTGATCCTTTACAAAAGAGAAACCAACAAGATGAGTCTTACCATTGTTTGGACTTTCTGCCTTGAAGCAACTCTCAGCCAACTAGTGAGGGAGTGGCAACCAAATAAGAATCTAGAATTGAAGACACAGATCAGCATTTTCAGAAATTAAGACAGCTAGAATTTGTGAAGCAGAGTAACTGGGAGAGCTACACAGAGAAAAGCTCTAGAAACCTGTTTAGGAGGCCATTGAGTCTTTGGCTGCATGTCAATCTGTATTTGTGTAGTATGAAACCCTAGGAGGCTGGCCAATAACAAAATTCTAAGGAAAAAACAGGTACCAGGGAGCTGTAAAGCAAATAATTCCCAGAACTTACAAAGGGCCAGGAATCATTTGAGTTGCCTTTAGCCAGAGGGAAGAGAACTCACTGAATATTTAGGACATTCAGTAGACATCCCAGAGACCTCAGAAGAGGAGCTAAATTAGCCTAACGATAAGCCCTATTCTAGACCAGTTTTAAAGGAGCTTAAAAACAAACCTTGAAGGGCCAAACTCATTCAAAATTACCTGGCAAAAGCAGTCTAACATTCTTTAAAGAAATACAAGATAAAGTCATCAACAATGTAAAATCTACATTGTCCTAAATCCAGTAAAAAATTACTGGACATACAAGAAAACATGAAAATGTGATCCAGAACCAAAAGAAAAATCACTCTACAGAAACATCCTTGCATAGGGAAGTAAAGTGATTATCCCAAGTTCATAGCTAGTAATTGCTGGATCTAGGCTTTAAACTCCAACAGGGGTTAGAGTCCACACTGAAACCACTATGCTAATTTGCATGTTGTATAAAAGTACCAACAAGATATTTCTCTCCCCAATCCATTTTGTTTGTGGAAATGTGTTGATGACAAGAGAGGTGGCTTCAGGCATATGGCCAGTTGATGTGGTGATAGTAAGTTACTGTAATTCTTCCAGCTGGAAATTTTAGATTGTTGAGACAGCTTTATATAATACCTCTCCAATAATTGTTCATTCAGTCAACATTTATTGTATTCCAGGCATTGCTTTGTATGCTTCAGACGATTACCTAGCTTAAGAGCATTTAACACACCAGTATTTTTAAATAAAAGTACTTTAGAGAGAGGAGTTTCAATGACCTTTGGTTTCCTCATTTGTAGTTGGATCTAATAACCCAACTACAAAGTAAGCCCTGCTTACTTTCCAGGTGGTCAGACAGATGGATTAAAATATTTGTGAAAATATTTGTGAACTAGGCTGGAAGAAGTCACTGTATAATTCTAATGCAGTGATAATAATCAACATAGTACACATTTCTTTTGAACTTCTTATAAAGTGCAATGAGAAAAAAGTCAACTTCCAATCAAATCATAGCATACACAACTGACCCTGAGTACATGTAATGTGAAGTCATGGGCTGTTTACCATCTATGGAATTCCTACAAGTACAGACTAGCTTTGGAAACTTCTGATAACTGCTACATTAATCATTTAGTGGTGTCTTAAGAACAATAAGGTTCATCTAGTATATTTTTCTATATTTGATCCTATTTCACATATTTATTCTATTTTATTTCATGTGGTGCATGTATTTAACTTAACAAATTCTTTCCTGATACAGTACTTTTGTGATCATTCATAACATCTAGCAGAGTATTCATAAAATAGCCATTTAATTGAATCTTGTTTTTTTTGTTTGTTTGGTTTTTTTTGAGGGTAAATGTTTAGACTTCTTTTGTTATAAGAGATATAGGAATATACCTACTGATTTCCAATATTTCTTCAATATATTTCCAGAATAATATAAAGGAGAGGTATAACGCTGGTTTCTGTGTTTTTTTTTCATTTATTATATAAAAGAAAAAAAATTAATGCAGTTGTTTTGTTCACATTTAAATTCCATAAAACAAATCCATAGAAATTAGGATACTATATGCATGCACTCTGCATTTTCTTTTTTAAATGTTTTGCTCACAAAAATAACACCACATTTTTTTCTTTAAAGCCACTAAAGCAGAGGGAGAACAAAACATGCAACACTGTACACATTTGCATAGTATATTTTACCCAGCATGCCTTGTAGAATGCTACACATACCTATATAAGAAAAATAAAAGGGGATAAATTATTAAAACAACTAAAATTTAAAGAAAGGAAAAATTATTTGCCAAAGGCAATGTTTATTCCACTTTGTCGCTGGAGATACAGCAATAGCCTGGGATATCAACAGCCCTCAGAATAGTAGGGAAAATATTTTTACATCATTTTGCCATATTTATTTTTCGTATGTTTTATATATTAATAAGTTTACCTATTTTTTATTCCCTCCCACCATCCCTTCAAAAACACAGCTAATGAAATTAACTTATGTTTCAAAATAGTATTCAGTACAAAACAAATTAAAGGATCCCTAACTAATATTCTTTTGCTGGGACATTGTTATTGATCATTCTGACTTGAGGCTGTGAATAATATTAAAAATTTCAAACATGTCTAAAATTCAGAGGAGCCCTGTGAGCTCACTTGCTGTGACTTTTTTGTAGTTGCTATTGAAGGAGAAGAAATAAGAACAGAAAATATAGTATGAGTCTTATCACAAAATAAAATTTAATAAGTTTTATGGAAGGGAATAAAATAAAAGAAATTACATCCACAGATTGCAAGGCTATGAAATAAATTGCTGGAAAAGTATCAAGCAGCAAGTTAAAAAGATAGTAGATGAGATAAATCTGATAAAACTTAGAGCTAAATCTATATATTTTTAAAAAATATGACTGCCAAATTTAACAGTGGATTTTGTTGTTTGTGCTATAACAAATGTGCTTCTTTCTCCTCAATCTATTTTCATATTATTGGCAAAATATATATATATTTTATAATTTTGTACTGTACAATATATGTTTTTGCTACATTATTTTTCTACTGCTAATGCAGATTAGAAGTAACAACATAGATTTATTTTGGCAATAAAATGCTTTCATTTTAATAACGTCCCAGAAAATATTGTAAGGCATATGAAAAATAGTATGCAACAATATAGCGTTAATGATCCCGCGTCTTTAATACATCCCTTATGCATACAGAATTCACACTGATTTCATTTAAAAGTGTGTGAAAGTGGCATGCAAGTAGGGCAAGAGTGGCCCCTACACAAACATAGACATAGCCATTTTTTGAGAATTTAAGTGTTCGAAACATAACCAAGAACACTTAGAAAGTATTGAAAAGCTAGAGGCCAGCCACTTCTGGTTCTTAGATAGTTCTCATTTTAACTCTTTATAATTTTCAAATGAGGAAGTATCAGTGTATTCCCCAAACCACTCTAAATTCATTAGAAACATTTTCTACCATCCTTCTGCAAACATTTTACACACATCAAAAGAAACAAAAGGAAGTTTCATATGTAACTATGACTCCCCCAAACCAATTGCTATTAGCGCTTATTTATGTATTTTTCATGGCAAGTAGGAGTTACAGCCCTTAGGATTATCTGATGAGATACTTTCTAGTCTTCTCATAATATGCCTCAATTACATGAGGCATTTGGGATTAAATCATCTATAAGTAGACAGAGATAGCTGCTATCAAAGGATGTATTTCATTTGAGAAAGACTGTTTTAGTAAAAGAAGAAACCTTTCAAAAGTAATTTTTGAATGCTGTAGCTCTGTCTGCCCATAGAAACCAACTTTACTATTTTAACTAACTTGACTGCTAAAATCAACAAGAAAAAAGTTATCCTTATTGTCTAACAGCTACTGTACTGACTTGACTGGTTTGATCATGATTATTGTTTAAAAAAAGAAGACTGTTCTCTGCCTCATAGACATAGCTTGAATAATTAACTTAGTTATAGTATCAACAGTATTTAAAGGTATGAGAAACTAATAAAACATTTTATTATATAATTTCCTATAGAGTTTTCATTCATATAGTCATTCAAGGATGAGTTTTATATCATTTTAAAAAAACCAACATGCAACATTGTCCTAAAAGACAAAAGCAGGAATATAAAAATAATAAGGGGTACTTAAGCATCTATTTGAAACATTGATATGAAGTTTGTTCCAATTACATGGGAGTCCAAGATAACGCATATCCTTACCCAGTAAATGGCTAAGCCAGGCTTTGGGTGACCACAGAAGTAAAGGATCAAAAAAATTTGAATTTGCAAACAAGCTGCACTTAAATATTAGGTCTCTGGACCTACCCTCTTTTAGACTTAGAACTAGATATTCTAACAAGTTGCACACGAAGGCAGTTCCCTTTGTTTCGTTCCCAATGATGACTGATTTGTTGAATTAACCTTGCCTCATGATAAACTGTGAACCATTCAAAGAAAATTTCACTACCATGGAAGAAATGAAAGGGTGCCAAGAGTGTTTTGGAATCAGTTTAAAATCTAAAGGGAAGGCATACTTTAATACTTTATGCATTTAGCTTTGCAGCAAGGTGAACCATAATAGTAATAATTTGATCACTACTTATTGACAAGTGTTTTTCCCTTTAAAGACAGACTGTCTTCTCTAGAGAAGAGGTAGTATAAATATCAATATATAGGGTAATTTCTATAGTGGTAGTACCTTTTTTTTTTTTAGTAAATACCAAAATAAAATTGTATAACTAAGAAAATATACTAGCATGCAAATTAAGGTTGCCAAGAAACATTCTTAACTGACATCCTGGGTCTCAACAACATTTTGTGATATGTTCATTTAAAGAGTTCAAATTTGCAAAGCATCTTCCAACATAATTTCCTTTCCTTACTCCCTTTCACTGCCCCCATTTTCTATTATGAATTTTAAGGCCCCCACACAAAAGACAAGTTCAAGTATGCAGGTATGAAAAGAGGTTAACATTCCAAAAATACATTTTGCAAACAACAACAACAATAATTAAAGCAAATAACAAATTATTTAAAGGGAACAAATAATTGTCTCAGAATTTGTTTTACATTTAAAAAATTCATTTCATTAAGGACTAAATGCAATGACTTATATAGTCACCAAATTAAGACTCTCTTGTTAGGAAAGATCATCAGTCTAAATTGCTAACAATTTCAACTTTCTTTCCAATAGAACTGTATAAAGATAAGAGAGAATCATCAGTAATTTATAAACATTTCTAAGTGTTGCTTGAAATATTAGAGTAAACAGGATAACATTGTTGATTATAATATTGGAGTCATACTATAGCCTTGAGAATTAATATCAGGATTGACAAATTGCATTCTTTTTTGTCCAGGACTACATTTCCACATTGTCACATGAATCCACATTGTCACATGAGTCTATGTATGTTGTTAAATGTCTGTGACTGAAATTATAGAATTCTAATATGTGGTTTATACTATAAATTTTAAAAAGCCTCAAAATAGTATAAGACTTTTTTCTCCTGCTTATAACCATTTGCTATCTTTAAATGAAATTAATTAAAAACAAAGTATTTGTAGAATATGTATTTTCCAAAGGTGCTTGGTGTGCTGGCAAAAATAAAACTTTTCATTTAATATATATCTGGATTCTAAGTATCATTTACACAATAAACTCTAAGGCTTTAAAAAAAGTAAGATGCATATCTCTTATTCATTTGAAGAAGATAAAACTTATTACAGAAAGAAGGGGAAAGAATATGCCAAATTAAAGTATAATTTTAAATATTAATATGTCCATCAAGAAAATATACATTATACCCTTTCTAAGATTATTAGCTTTTTAATAAGAATGCAAAGCAAAACAGGTATGGCCATTTGATGGTAAATGATCGGTTTTGTGCACAGATATTGAATGAGCCTCTCTCTTTATCAGCATGACATGGATGACTAGAAACAAGGCTTTGAGAGGCCTTTAAAAACAAGTGACTTTTAAAAAGTTGAAGGAAAGATGGTAATCTTGATAACTAAGAAATATATGTAAATGCTGTTACAGCTACCTGCCTAAAATGTAAATACCCTAAAGTAGTTAAATGACCAAATTGCTAATGCTACTACAGAAAAAGCTGAACAGCAGTCTAGTCTAAATTTATACACCTTGGTGCATTTTTTTGCAATTAAATACTTTAATGCGCACAAACAAGAAACCAGTAAAGCATATAGAAAAATGTTTTGGCTAATGTTTTCTTTCTCATGCAAATATGTGCTGTACATATAATAAATATATTTTTGTTTGCTGGAAAATGCTCTTCTGTGTCCTAACAAAGTATTCAGTAATGGCAGGTTATATGTTTATTAAAGTGCCTAATGGATACAACTCTTTTAAACGTCTTAACTGAAAGTTCTATAAGCTTCACTAGATGACAAAAGAAACTCACAGGTATCACAGGTTAACTATTAAATTTTACTTAGCCCATATTTTTTAATTGTATCGAATGTTTGAAATGACTTGCAGAATTATAGGTGTCCTCACTATCAGCTAAACAGATTCATAATGGGGTACACACAGTGAACATGAAGAACAGGCATGTGGTGAGATTGTAATGGGGTTCAAGATATGTTTAACTGATCAAGAATATGGAACTTATTTTCATGGTCACAAAAACTATTGAACTGGTGCATGCTTTGACATCCTAAATACTGAAAGGCTTGGGGAAAAAATAAGATAATATAAAATTAATTATTGTTTTCAAAAATAGGCTTCATGACATGTACAAGTAGAAAAGGACTTTAATGCTTGATCATATTGGGTATTAGAAAATGCATGCACTGTGCACTCTTAGAAACGAGTAGTTTTGTAAAGACATTTGTGTATTGTATAAAAGGGCCAATTTCAGTAATTTCTTGGATCATAATGAATCTAAGGCTTCCTTGCTAATATAAGACATAGGTCACCAATTCAATAATTATGGCCATTGGAAAAATTGTGAAGACTTAATAGGTGAAGAAGATCGTGCATTAGAAATTAGGAAGTTCAATCTCCAAATTCTTCATAATTCTCTGCATTGAAAATGCTATAATTTTAGTGAACAAATATTTTCTGAATGGATGAGTTTATTTTTTACTGCAAGCTTTTAAGTTCATTTGTTTTAACTTTTTTCAAGTAGTCACTTTGCAAAAACATCGCTTTCCAATTCAATGTCAGAGCTGAATGTGTGTCCATGTAAAACAAAAATCCCTAGCATGATTTAAAGAATCTGATGAAGGGCTAGAACATTCAGATATTCAAAGACAGAGACCGAGGGAAGCAATGGAAAGATATTCAATCGTGCTGGCAGGAAATCCTGACCCCATGCTTGTGTTCAGTGGGATATATGAATTCCCATCTGGAGATGTTTAGCTTTGCACTCAGGAGGCTCAAGTACCACATCTGTACTATCTGACTTCACATTCCTGGATGTATGTAATTGTGCTCAGATTGGTTAAAGAGTAAACAACACCTTGTTTTCTATTTCATATAACCAGCTATGTTTGGGGTTCTCTTTACTACTCTCTCACTGCTGAAAAATTTTTGAGGGGTTTTTTTTTTTTTGCCAACTTCAAACAAGCTAACAGTACTGACTAAACAAAAACAAAACACTTTGAATACAACAGCTGTGCCAGGAAAGAAATAAAAATATTAAAATTTGAGGAGACTATATAATTTCTGCAATAAGACTTCTGAGTTTTTTGGCACTATCAATACATTTGGTAAGTTTGAAAAGTCATTCTGGAAACATTAACATATATTAAAATGTTTATACATTCCAACTTTTAGTGTAAATTTAGCTTCCAGCAAATAAATACCATAGCTGGTTTTGGCTTCTATTGTTATTTTGATTTTCTTTTTAATTAGGTTTTTCCCCCCAGATTTTTCAATTGATTGCAACATGCTCAAGTAGACTTTCTAGTCAATTCACCCAAATTCCAACAGGAATTGGTTTATAAATTGGTTCCAACTGGAACTGGTCATTTGGAATTTCCAGCATGGGAAATTATTTTATATGTGCCTTGATAAGTACCCTAAATTACAAATTGATGTGTCTAAATCTATGAAGAAAACAAAAGGTACTGTTATGGAAATGTTGCAGTTAAAAATATCTATATGATTGGGCATCTAATATCCATCTAGATTTAAGGGCATAATGTACATTTTTTTTTTTTTTTGCCCCTTACTTAGCATCAAATGACAGCAGCCCATAAGCACAGTGAATACTGTGCTGTGCTTGCCAAATTAAGATGGTTAGTTTATCCTAGCAGTGCTATGGCAAATTGTCAACAGATGAATATTTTGTGTTTTTTCAGCAGACTCAAAGCCTATGCCGGGAGTCATGGCTATATCCCCCAGGTGATCCTCGGTTCCTGTGGGGTTTGTAAGTGTCCTGGTATGAGTCAGGGTAATCTTCTTCCACAAGAGGGTAATGATCTCGGCTATGCTGGGAACTGGAAGACAAGCGGTTTCTACTCTTCCGAGCCCTTTCATTGTGATAATTTTCATCAGAGGTCATGAGACTTCGTCTTTCAATTGGAGAGTTCTCTGTGGAGTGGTTGCTGTGCCTCATTCGCTGACTCTAGAAACATCAGATAGTTCATCGATTAAATAGCAGCAGCTTCATTCATCTGAACATGTATGTAAAAATAATAGGATCTAGGATCTGTATAATAAGATGCTAAATATCTGACTCAGTAAAACATTTTGATGCACAAATGATCTGCTCAAAATATCTGGTCTTATTTATTTGGGACACAACATGCAAAGATGCCTGAATGTTGATAGTTTATGAATTTAATTACACAGTGCTGCATGACTATGCTTCCTATTAGAAAGATAGAATTGAAAGTTAACTGTTAAATGGAACCTAATATATTTAGGAAGACCTAATAATTCCATTTCTATTGCAAAAATGTAGGATTATTTTGCTATTGGGAAATAATGTTCAGAATAGCATCTATTATTTTATTTCTCTCTTGAACTGATCAAATCTTTCTCCTCCTAAAGTAACACATTTCACCTTGAGTGCTCCTTACATCTTTTAAAAGTATTTTAATGAAATTATTACTTGTGCAGTACACATAATAGTGCATTTGTTTTTGAATTCTACATAAATGTAAGACTCTCAGCAATATTCTTTCCAAAGGAGTATACAATATCTAGAGCCAGCTAATGGACACTTCTAAATCTTGCTTCCTTAACTGAAACATCCTGCAAAAAATAATCTTCACATATAAACTAAATTCCTCTAATACCATTAATTGAAATGTATATATATATATATACACACACACACATATATATGTGTATAAATATATATATTTTTTAAGATACAGGGCCTCATTCTGTTGCCCAAGCAGAAGTGCAGTGGCATGATTATAGCTCACTGCAGCCTCAATTTCCTGGGCTCAAGCGAGCCTCCTGAATCAGCTTCCCAAGTAGCTGGGACTACAGGTGCGAGCCATCACATCCACATGAAATTAATATCTTAAGACACTTATGTGATGGCTCAGAATATGCTATTCAACATTTTTCTTCACTATGAGAAAATATTTACTACTTGTGTCTGCCAGTTTCAGTAGGTCACCTCAGTTAAGAAATAGTATCCTGATGAAACCATGGGCCCAGATACATCTCCTGTAAGGTACACTCAATCTCACACAAAAGGAAATTCATTCAAAAGGTCACAGATGTGCTCTTAACCTCTGGTAAGTGTTTAATAATTAAGAGCTGATGGTTACTGGTAGAAGTAGGCCACAAAATAAAGGGCAACATATTAATTCATTAGTGAAACTGGGAGAACCACTCCAGGTAGATATCTTAGAGATGATGAGTCAAGAGCGTTGCATTCATAACCAAAGTGTAACATTTCATTTCTACCTACATTGCAAAAGCTTATTGCTTCATGCATCCATTTCTCATCTCACAATGTACAATTCAGAGCCAATCCAAACTAGTCAATGAAACCGCCACACTTAGATCAACCCACAGGAAGTGAAACAGGGCTTGAAATAGTCCTGACACATACATATACACTGTACATTACAATAGTATATTTTTCATGTTCATTTCCAGCCTCAAAAGCTATTCAATTATATGGCAGTTTTTCCCCTTACAAAGATACAATTTTGCAGCACAGTAATACAGTTATAATAGCATTCCAGAGAGTGCCATTTATCTCAGAGTTAACTCTACATGATCTACAATTATGACTATCATTATAACCCATTAAAACAAAACTAGTTATGATACAAGAGGGTTCAATTGACTACATGTTCCTCAATCAGCTGGGGGCTGGGCCACATTCCAGCAGCTGCTTGACAAATGTTAAATAACAATTAATGTACAAAGGCAAGAGTTATTTTGTATCATAAGGTGGCCTGGCTCCCTACATCTGGCTCTGAATGCAACACCAGGGCAGCAGAAGACAGAATCTCCTGATCCTGTGTTCAGCCCCAGTTTCCCTAAAGGACACTCAACATAGCCACTTACCAAGGTGGGCTCCTGCACAGCCCCAAGAAAACTCAGGAATCTGTCACTGTTTCTGAACAGGGGAGCTCTACTCAAGTCTTATGCAAAGTAGAGGACAGGCCCAGGGATGGCATTAGTGAAGGGCAATCAAAGGCCTATCTGCCTCAAAATATCTTACTTAGCCAGCCATGGTGCTTGATATTTTCACTTTCACATAATCCTTAAGAAGTGCCATTCAGAAGTAATAGACAGCTGCACAGTTTCCTGGCAGGGTTTCAACATAAGAGGGGTTAATTGATCTAAGTAAAATCCATCATAAATTCACAGGGCACAAAGTTCTCAGGGAAGGGTCACTCTCTGCGTAGCTTTTTCTAGGAGAGATCACAATTAGATGACATTTTAGATTTTTTAATATAATGCATATATATGGTTCCTTCTTTAGATTAAGGACAAGTTCATTCTTCATCCTAACCAAGTTCCCTGTAGACTCTTAGATATAAGGTTGTAAAGACACGAATGAAGAAGTGACAATACCTGTAACCCAGAAATAGCCGTGGGGTATGGTGAGAGTGCTGTTGAACCCAAATTCCTTCCCAGGAGTGGGGTCATGGGGGTGCTACTTGTAGTGTGGGTGGCACGCCAGTACGCCTCCAGGTACTCTCCCAGGTGTTCACACGCATCCTCGAGCTGATTTTCATCCAATATAACATCAAACATTTCCTGTAAGTGACAAGAAAATCCATTTTATCTTCACTTTAGATTTTAGGCAATGAGACCTAAAATTCCACTTAGAGCGATAGTGGCATTTTAAATATCTAGTAGATAATATCAAATTTTAGGGGCTATATTGGCAATTTCTAAAGTTACAGTCTAGTGAAGAGTTGCTCAGTTATCCAAGTACACATGTGAACATTAACATAAAGACAAGAGTGCTTGTTAAATATTTGTATCTTCGATTATTTAGAAAGAAAAATATGACATAAGTATAAAAGTGTTATAGGTAAAAAAAGAGTGAAAGAGTATACGAAGTCACACATTTATCCATATATTCATATAGAGTTGAATTCTACTCACTTCAGAATATGAGAGAAGCAAGTTAATGGCACTGAAAAAGGAGTTCTAAAAATGTTTTGGGCAATGACCATATCATTGGAATAAATAAACATTTCATCTCCCAAGGTAACTATGTTGAAAGAAATAACATTGGCTTAGGTAATTTTCAGAATGTTTGTGAAAATGATGTTATCTCTCTCATTCTAAAACAGTATGGAAAGAAAGTTTAGCATTAATACTAGAAAACCACATGACAGTGATTTCTGTTACCGAGCTCATTTTGTGAAATGGTTAAAAAGAACAAGGGGTGTTGAACTGGGGAGGGTGAGGGGTCACCCCTCACAAGAAATGTCTGCTGTCCATGTTTCTGTCAGTCTGACCTGGAACCAGGAAGTTGTTCTTCCTCCCCAAAGGAGCAGAGTGTCCCCTGTGTTACTGCCATGTGGCTGGGAACACAAGATACACCCGAGACACAGACTCTTTGGAAGGACAGTTGGAAAACTTTGGCACCTCACAAAGAGAAAAGCCATTCCACAGGTAGGTGTTTAGCACAACCCAACTTTCAATAGGTAGATTGAAATACTTCCCCTCTCCCACACCACCACCACCATCCACCTGCTTTTATGAACTCATTTTCTCAAAATAATGAACCAAATACAGAGTCACTGCTATCAGCATTGATATCGCTGGCTGGATTTAGGTTTAATGGCAACTGGATGGCATGGAGTTGGTGTTGTCTCAGCTGACTCATTTCTCTTCAGTGCTTAGAACAAAGGATCCTTGAAGCAGAAGTCACCATGGAAACAATCTCTCCCCCAACATTTACTATTTAAATGTTTCATCACGTCAATCTTTACAGAAAAATTTGACCCCAAAATGGGGTCCTTAGAGCAGGACTAGGAAAAGGATAAGATGACTTCAGCCCAAACTGACTCATGTTTTTGAGAAGATTCAGCCAGTCCAGCTCATATAAAAACCTCCCCACAACCAAAAACAGTTATTAGTAGACTTCAGATGGGTTTTGCATATTTTATTCATTCATAGAATATTTACTCAGTACCTATTTTGTGCTAGACACTGTGGACATACAGTAGCAAAGAAAACAGATATCATGTTCAAGAGGCATACAGTCTGGTGGGAGAGACAAGGATTAAAATCCATAATAATCTATGTCACGCTGGGACTTTAATTCAGAACAATAATAAGACTGAGCTGCAGCTTACAGTTCTGGATTTAGGAGGAGTCCCAAAGAGACATGCGAATGTTGAACTTATGAGGAAGGGGAAATTATGAGCAAGTCAAAAAATTTATCTGTAGGGGGAAGAGAACAAAACAGAAAAAGAAAAAGAAAGACAAATGGAAGAAAGAGACTATATGGCTCATAAGAGACAGAGATAACAGCCAGTTCCTAGAGTTTCTGTCAACACATATCCTTATGATAATCCCTCGTTTCCACTAAAGTAATCCAAGGGAGTTTCCTGTCTCTTGCAGTCAAAAGCCCCCTCTCCCATTAATGTAAACTTTCCACAGTTATGAACAATCTGTGGCATAAATAACCTGAGAATTGTCCATGACACTCTGATATCGGTGGCATTTCAGTGCTGACTTGGGGGGGACACAAGAACAGCCACATGCCAGAGAGCACCCACAGACTCAGGACGCACGGGAAGAAGAAAGAGAGACTGGACAGCACTGGAACCATTCTCTCAGCCACTCCAGCCTCAGGTTCTCCCACAAATTCTACATTGTATGAGATTCGGAGTTGGTTGTTTATACCACTTTTGTGTGTGTGAACTCTAAAATTTGATTACACAGGTCTCCTTCTACAGTGTAGGTTTGGTTCTTCTCAACAAATCATTTTCTTTCTTTCACAAAGTTCCAAGTTGAGGAACCTTCCAGGGATGCCTGGACTGGATGGGTCCTGGTAATCACAGCCAGGATTGCAGAGCCCAAAGACGGGACACCCAGGCAGGCAAGCACCCACCACAGAATGTTATTTGAGTGAGCGTTATGTCTACTTGGCTCATTCTGCATGTTACATTGTCACTGCTGCAGACACAATTAAACATACATTTAATTGCAAGTAATTCTAAGAAAGCACTTCCCTTTGCCAATGAATTGGATTTGTATATATCAGCACATGGCTGTTTGCTTAAGCCTCAGTCATTGCTAGGAAACTAGCTTTTCTACTGCTAAAAGACAGCTATGTGATGGAAGATGATTTGAAACTGCTTTTAGGCCTTCGAAAAGCACAGAGAAAAGCAAATTTCGGCTTCTGAATGAATACTGACATATGTGGCTTATTTTCAACTAGATAGAATTTCACAGCCTGTGTAGCTGTGACGATTTTTCTTTTTAACTGTTTAGGAAATAACACAGCTGAGTAGACCAGAGTGTTAGAAAGTCAGTACAAGGGGGGGAAATTGATTTTTATTATATAAGAAATTCAAAGAGAAGCAATCCAATGAATTATGCAAACCAGGTTTGCCATTTTCTCACAAATGTAAAGGTTCAAGTGTAGTCAGCTCCTTCTTATGCAATAGGTGAGACCTCCTGCAAACGTTTTAATACGTTAATACGGACAGAGAGAGCTACCTAATCAGCAGAAGCCCTGGCAGTGAGCATTGCCTGCTCAGTGATCCCATGGCCTTGGCGACTGGCCAAAATAAGGGCAATGTTGAGCTATTTTCAAAGCACTGCCACAGCGAACACCTCTGACATTCTATGGTGGGATATTTTCTTCAGCTGAGGTAGACAGAAACGGTGTGGCTACCACACGTACGTGAGTAGGGGACAGAGGAGTCAAAACAAACCATCAAAAATCCAGGCACAGTAGCCTCCTTGGCTGGATAAACTCTCTCCAGAAAATTAAACATTAAAGCATTATAAACAACCAAGAGTGAAAAACATGCCTCTAGCTCATCCAGTGGGCTGAGAAATAAAATGACAGAGAAGAAAGAAAGGGAAAGAAAGACGGAAGCTGAGTAATATGGAAAAGAAGAAGATTTGCAAGGTCTTCTTACAAAATTGTAAGTATCGAACCATCTGCCTGGTTCTCCATTCACAGAGTAAGAAGCGACAAACTTTCCCAGGGAAGCCACTTGAATTAGGGCAACCAACCGTCCTGGTTTGCCAGGGACTGAGTATTTCTGGGGACATGAGACTATCAGTACTAAAACCTAGAAAATCCTGAGCAAACTGGAATCAATGGTCACCCTAGTTTTTACAGAAAATAGTGCTTTTCAGGTCTTACCTTGAGGGAATAAAGCAAGTTCCATTTGTTTCTTTTAAATTATTTTGGGAGGGAAGAAATTGGAGAGAGACTAAGTCTTCCTTAATGACTGTGAAATACGTACTTTCTAGCATAGAGAGAGAAATCTCATTAAAACTAGTGTATATTGTCTAATATGCTTTAGCTAGGGAAGCTGCTATTGAGTATTTTTTAATAAAAAGTTTATAAAACTTAGAAACTAATTTTACAGTTTAATTTTAACTTTTAAAGTTGGTTCATTACTGAATATTAAAGTTGGTTCATTACTACATAGGGGAGTAAATACATGCAGACTCTTGCATGGCATATGCACCCCTTTACATCTGTGGTCCCCAAACGCCAGGCCTCAGACTGGCACTGTCTGGTCAGTGGCTGGTTAAGAACCAGGCCACATAGCAGGAGGTGAGCAGTGGTGGGCCAGTGATTCAAGCTTCATCTGTATTTACAGCCACTCCCCATCATTGAATCACCACCAAGCTCCGCCTCCTGTCAGATCAGTGGCGGCATTAGATTCTGCATTATGGTGAGTTGTATAATTATTTCCTTATACATTATAATGTAATAATAATAGAAGTAAAGTGCACAGTCAATGGAATGTGTTTGAATCATCCCGACACCATACACCCACCCCCGGTCCTTCGGAAAATTGTCTTCCATGAAACCAGTCCGTTGCCAAAAAGGTTGAGGACTACAGCTTTACATTTACTGGTTGTGCACAGAGAAAACCTCATGTGGGTCACCTTTCCTATTTCTAAGTGGAACAAAGAAATAATAGAGCATACTTTCATTTCTTTGCTATTGGAATAGAGAGAGCCTGAAACTGACATCATTTAAGAAAAAAATTGGTAAATACCATTCAGTAAAATAAAATGGCTGAATGGCACAAACATGTAATTCTAATCATAAAATAACCAACCAATGTCTCTCTCATATCAAAACTCGTTTATGTTATTAAAATGTTTGAGGTCCTGAATACTTAACTCACTGGTCAACTCATGATAGGAAATTAGGCTCTAAGTTAAAAAATTTTTGAAAACATCTAGGAGGTCTTATGGGGATAAAGGAGAGCCTACAAATATTATGGGGCTCTAATAGTGCTAGGTAGTTTCCACTTTAATGAGCTAAACAGGAAAGACAATCAGAATTCTTGCTGCTAATTGGTGAGGATAACAGAAATGCGAAGAATAGAGCAACTTTGATCCCTTTTATAGTTCCTCTCTCTTAATAATCTGTGACATTCATTGTAGACTCAAACACATTTTCCACCCACACCCCTCCCTCCATCCTGTCCATTCTTATTCTTCAGAGATTATGACAACATCCAACGATGTTAGTGTCTGGAGAAAAGGCATTCGGTATTTTTGTTGAATTCATATGATTCTGATGTGTTAAATCATAGCATCAGTGGGAGTAAACTCTCCCTGACCCTCTATATCCAAGTCGTGTGGCTGAAACCCCTGGAAAAGGTGTAGTCCCCTTTGCTTGAGAGGGAAACCGGATCCCTGTGGTCTTGTTTCAAGGGAACATCTGAAATCAATTACTCTGCTTTTCAAAAGCAGTGTTAGGAATTAAAACTGTGGACATCCAGGGGCAGTGAATAATGAATGCACCATTGTGGAGGGCACTTCAAATAGATGGGTAAATCTACATGATTCTAAATAATTTAAATAAAATTACTGGAAGAGAGCAGTGGAAAATTACTGCTGCGAGAGCAATAGGGATGAAGGATACTGGGCACTACCACTCCCTTCAGAGGTCTGTGGTTCAACAGAATAAATCTGAGTCTGCTCAGCAATGGGAAATGACGGATAGAAGAGAACTACTATAGTTATTGTAATGTTAGAGGCCTGCAAGATTCTGCCGAGGAGATGAGTTCCCCTCTTACAGGGAGAGCGACCGATGTCATTTTACACACAAAAAAACATTGCTCGGCTCCAAGAGCCACAGGGTCAGCTGTTGGTAACACAAGCCAGATTGTAACCAAGTAGGATTAAAGGATTACATTTCGTTTATGTATTCAATTGTCGGTCTCTCTGCTTTTCTCACCATGCATTATGTAGCTCTTATTACCATCATACTGGGGCAATTTGAACTTGGCCTTCTTAAAATGTCCTATTTTCAACTTCTCTGAAGAACAAAAGGGTACCAACACCTGGTAGAAGCAAAATGAAATCTAAAAATACAGTGTATGGATGTATACTGCAAATACAAAACCTGGCTGGTCATATAAAAAATATGAGATGGGTTTGCAGGTTCTAGTCCCATAAGCCCCCTATCTGTCTGCATCCCATCTTTTTTTTTTTTTTTCCCACTATGAATCCAGACTGGGCAATGAGAGGAAAATCCTCCTTCTTCCAGAGTAAACAAGCCAGTAGCCCATCTCCCAGCTCATCTTTCTGTCTATGGCAAACTGAAAATGGCCACAAATTCTTTGACATTCTGCATCAAGATAGAGGATTATGTTTCCTCTCCTTGAATCTGGAGAGCCTCTGTGACTATTTTGATCAACAGAATGCTGTGGACATGATGCTATGCTGGTAGGAAAGCCCAGGCTGTAAGAGACTGGAATCCTTGCTCTTGGAGCCTGGGAGCTGCCATGCAAGAAATGCCGTATCCCTGCTGGAGAGAGCCTATGGAAAGACCCTCGCACTACTCAGAGAGGGAGGAGAGCTGGGTGAGCCCAGCCTTTTAGCCATCTCTGCTAAGGGACCAGGTTAGCCGCCCGCTGAATACCACCAAAGTGGCTGCTGTCTGGAGTCACTACGTTTGGAAGTAGTTTATTGCACAGTAATAGAGAGCCACGACGTTGGCCTGGGTGGCAACTTTGGTCTGCTGTCTAAATCAGGCTTGCCTCCTGCTTCCACGGAGCTTGACTGAAATATGGCTCATTTGTTTACACGTTGTCTAGGGCTGCTTTCCTGTTACAAAGGCAGAGTTGAGTGGTTTTGCAAAAGGAAACCATATGCCCACAAAGCCTGAAATATTTACTATCTGGCCCTTTACTAAAAAAAGTTTACTGACCTCTCTTCTAGAAAAAGCCTTAACTATGAAACCCATGATTCTCTCACAGGGAGAATATATAACTAACCTGTTGCCAGTCACCATCTAAAGTCTTGCTGGACTAGGAAACAGAGATCTTACACTGACTGTGACCAAGGCATATGCCCTTTGGAAAACCAGTTCATCTTTCTTGGTCTGTTCCCTCATTTCTAAAATGAGGAAATTGGACTGGATCAGTCTTTCCCTAGGAGTATTCCATGAAACACTAGACCCATAGGATACTCCATAGTCATATTTTAGGGGAAGCACTGCATACTATATGTCCTATTGGCACTGCATACTATATGTCCTATATGTCCTATAAAATACACATTAGCATATTCAGGGTTCTGCAGTAAAGAAACCAGACTACCTTTGTTTACAGGAGTGTTTTCTCAAACATTTTTGGTATCAAGGCTCTTTTCCCATATAACACCTGTCGACATCACATGGAACCCATATTGTAAACAACATACTCCAGGAAATACTATTGGGTGCTCTTAAAAGTCCCCTTTTGCCCTCATATTCCCTGAATCTAGGATTCTTTCTTCTGGCTACAGAGAGTTAACTTTATTCAGTGCTCTTTCAGACTTCCCTTTCCAAAAACTGTTGCCTTTAATTTCTGAGCAGTGTGAGACTCTGCCAGTGTGATTTGCTGACTTTTCAGACTGGAGATACAGTGGCAAATTAAGCAAGTTGCAAATTCTCCTAAAGGAATTAAAATGACACAGTGATCAACAATCTTTGGATGACAATTATAATTATGGTCTTGAAGTAAAGTAGGGACAAATGCAGACACATTTTAAGATGACTACTGGTTTTTATAATCTGAAGATTTCTCCACATGTGCCAAAATAGAGTATATGATTCCTTCTTAGCATTACAACTGCTATTCATGCAATATCAAGTGAACATGTTTGCTAAAGTAAACAGTGCATAGAAAATGTTAAGTTAAGTACAAAGTAATCTTACCTATCCAGACAGCTTGTTTAAAATTTCAGGTTTTCTGACCAAATATATAAAACAAGGAAGTGTTTATCCTACTGAGATAAGGATAGGGCAAGGCTGTCTTTCCAGCTATGGGGCCATTTGAAATCCCTGACCCAGGTACAAATCCTAAGGTAGCTCACAGTAAAACCTGCATTTCTGTATGCACATATATTTTCTTAGTTCCAGCCATTCCAAACAGCAATTTTTTTAGACAAGGTCTCATTATGTTGTCCAGGTTGGTCTCTAACTCCTGGGCTCAAGCAATCCCCAGCCTCAGCCTCCCGAGTAGCTGGGACTACAGGTACATGCCACTGCACCAGGCCCAGCTATTTCAGATGTAACAAGTTGTACTGCATGAAAAACCACTCAATGATAAACCCTCTCAACAGCTAAAATACCTCAATTTTAATAAGATACAAGTATTTTCTCTAGTAATTATTAGGAATAAATGTTAATAAATTCATTCTTATGAAAAGATGACATTTTCGCCAATAAATCTCCTGCACTTCTAATTCCATTTAGGTGTCTGCTTCCCAGAAGACCAAACCGATAGAACCATCCTTATAAGATTGTTCTAAAAATTGGAGATAATAGAATAGTTCCTGGCTTTTGGTAGCTTTACAATAAAGATCATCTTCCATCAACTGTGAAGTGTTACAGGGTCAGGTCAGGGGCTGGGTAATACATCCTTCTATAGCTGCTCAGTGCTTTAATCTTACATTCCACTGCGTAAGTGGACTTCATCAGTAGGCAATGTGAAGTTAAACTTCTTAACATAGTTGTCCACACTCGAAGCTATCCAGGTTACCTACAGGGTAGGTAACCAGGTGTGTGTATGTAGGGGCACATGGGGTTAGGAGGGCAGGTAACTGGCTTTGGAGCCAGATAGATCTAGGTCTAATCCTAATTTGCTGTATAAACTTAGGAAAGTCATTTAATCCCTCTGTTTTCAGTTGCCTTAACTATAAAATGGGGATAATATTGCCTATTTTACTAGGTAACTGTGAGGATTAGAGATTATGTAAAGCATCTAGCATACTGTGGGCCCACTGTAAGCATCTAATCAAAAAATGCATTATGACTTTCATTGTCTACATATCCTTGACTCATTCAACAACTATTTATTATGGGCCTACTGTGATAGGGAAGTGAGATACCACAGTGAACCAGAGAGGCACAGGTTCTTACAGAGTCTAACAGACCAGACATGGCATAGTGCAAAGTGTGTCCAGTAATTATAACAGAAACACTTAGACTGTGCTTCTTATGTGTCAGCCACTGCCCCAAGAGCTTTACCACATATTCACTCATTGGAACCTTACATCAATCCCATAAAGTAAGCACTTTTCCATAATTACATAACTACTTAGAGTGGATCTGAACCCAGGCCTCTGGCTCCAGAGTATGTGCTTTTAACAGCTATGCTGTGTTGCCTCTATGAACGTTCGAATTGGATTTTTATGATTCCACAGAGCATAAACAATCCTACACAAGTATATGAAACAATCTAGTGATTCAATTGAGTAAGAAAGACAGTTATTTCCTTTAGAGAAACATAGGCACAGAAATAGTAAGTCAGTGGAGCACATGGAGACACGCTAGCCACTGGAGACCCGGTGCCACGTGGGAGCAGTCCCCTCCCCCACCTCACCTCCCACCCCCAGTGCTGGCCTCTGACCCAGCAGCAGTCTCCTGGCAATGGCACCAGGAGAAGAGTTGCTATCATTCAGTTCCTCGCCTCATTCCACCCTGAACCTGTCATCTGCTATAACCACGGGGCTCTTCCAATTCTAATCAATTCTTTACCTTCAACATCAGAATCTTTTATGCCTGGCAGAACTTTCTGGCGGAAAAGTTAAAGGGAAAGTCAAATTGGTATGTTTTATTTTGTTCTTTTATGTTCTTACAAGTGTCCACGTGACTGGAGGTCGGATGCTAAGTGGTTTGCTGAGTGTTTGCAAGGTAGTTAAGGCAGCATAAGGAGGCAGACACTAGACGCTAAATTCATTGCTTATCACAAGGCAAACACCATCCAGTTCTGGATGCCTGAGTACAACCAAAACGACAGAAGCAGCTTGTGCCAAGAAGTCCTTTAGATTTATGACAAACAAACCATCATCACCGTCATTCTAGAATAAGAATGACAAAGCTAATATGGAAAAAAAAAATTCACCCTCTTCCAACTAACCAAGAACAATCAAGAGAAAAATGATTATACTTACTGGGGGGCATTGTGCAAGTTTATCAGCTGCCACCAGTTGAACGTTCAAGTGTTTACTCTGGGACTTTCCTCTAGATTTAATCAACCGCTGTAAAACCTGATGGAAGAAGACATGAAACTGAGGTATTATCAATGAGTTGAAAGAAAAATAAATAAACCAGGATCTTTTTAATGGTCTGCGTAGCCCTGAGTAATAGTAGGGAAAAAATATAGGGTGACAAACCATATTTATAAGCCTGCAATGATGTCATCCACCTACACTGGCTTTCAGTTATACTGGATTTGACATGTTCATGCTCTTCTAGCTCTGTATAAAGTCTTAGTGGAATCCTGAGTTTCTACCCCCTATTTTACCTACAGATTTCAAAGAGAGCTTTGCAAAAATGGAGGGACTGGTCTGTACTAGGTTTTTTTCTTTTCTTTTCTTTTCTTTTTTTTTTTTTGAGACAAGTCTTGCTCTGTTGCCAGGACTAGAGCACAGTAGTGTCATCATAGCTCACTGCAACCTCAAACACCTAGGCTCAAGCGATCCTTCTGCCTCAGCCTCCCGATTAACCAGGACTATATGCGTGCCCCATCACACCTGCCTAATTTTTTAACTTTTTTGTAAAGACCAGGTCTTGCTACGTTGCTCAGGCTGGTCTCAAACTCTTGGGCTCAAGTTATCCTCCCACCTCAGCCTCCCAAAGTGCTAGTGTTACAGTTGTGAGCTGCCATGCTTGGCCATAACAGGTCATTTATGTTGAGTAATATTTTGGTTCACTATCTCCATGTCAGATAAATATGACAGTCATGTACATATTTGGCCCTTTTTGTCACTGATAATTAATGACCCATTCCAGTTTCATTTTACATTAATCAGACTATTTCATGATTGGAAATCTAGGTAAAATATCTGCTTTGGTACATAGCTACCTATAAACCAGTGATATATCTATCTTCTGGCCACTGCTGTAACTGCATTTGGCCATATACTCCATCTGCTCTGGCCCTCCCATCCCCCAAAACGGTATTCATCTATGAGGCTCTATGATACCCCAGCACACAGGTCTGTGAGAGCCCCTATTCCTGCACTTAAGGACACCATAGTGTCATGGACAGTGGGAGGAGCCAATCTCCTCTCCACTGCTAGGAAGGGTGCTTGCACCCCCAGCAGCTCTGGGTCCAGGTGGTCAAGACAATTTCAATCCATCTACTGATTCTCTAAAGGCCCTGGCTTGGTCAGGAGTCCCAAGTGCACTGCACACAAGCATTGTCTGAGAGATGGAAGGCTGAGAACCTCAGAAGCTTTGGAGAAGGGCACAATTCTTCGGACATTCTCCACCCATGAGAGGAGAACTTGCATGTAAGCACTAAAATACATTCTAGGAGTCACTGAAAAGAGACTGATTATTAAGATTGGCATCCCCAGCCAATGGTGAGTTGTATAATTACTTCATCCTATATTACAATGTAATAATAATAGAAATAATGTACACAATAAATGTAATGAGCTTGAATCATCCCCAAACCATCCCCCCATCCCCAGTCCATGGAAAAACTGTCTTCCGTGAAACTGGTCCCTGGTGCCAAAAAGGTTGGGCACTGCTGATTAAGATAGTACCTCCCAAGGGTATCTATTTCATATTAACTTTTTAGAACATCATCGCTTTTTTAAAATGAAAGAACACCCAAGTCAAAAGAAATTGATTTGGAGCCGTTTCATTTTTATTTTTACCTCCCCCAATGGCATAACGATACATGGCAAATTTTCCATTGTGCTTAATCATGGAATAAGCTATATTCCTCAAAGGACCTAACCTAAGCACAAATGGCAGGGTCTGTAACATTTCCATAAGAGATGTCTACACAGTGATATTTTATTTTATATATGACTAATATAGATACCTTTCTTGAATTATGTAGTCTCTCAACTAGGGAGAGAATATTGGTGATACAAGAATCAATATTACCCATGAAATTTACCAATAGAACCTATAGTCTATGAAAAGCCAGAATCTACTTTTCCTCAGCATTCTTAATTTTTTGTTTCTGTTATACACTTGCATACCTGTATGGTTTGGGAACCACAGTAGTCAATAAGCTTCTTGAAGGAATAGACTATTATATTTTTTATTTGCTATCTCGAAATTCTCAGAATCTGTACACTGTGAAAATTTTTAAATGTGCCCATCAACAGAGTCTCAACAAGACGTTCTCTTTGCCCGCCAACAAAAAAACACAGAGCAAGGAATATTTCAAAAGAAATGTGCTTCTAATCCTTAAGACAGAAATGAGCTAATTACCTTTGGAGATGAGACTTTTACGTGAACAATAATTGGTGCTAAGGAAGTCTTTATAAGTTGTGCTGGGTGATTGATGGTGTCCGCATCAAGAACAACCAGTTGCAAAGATCTTGCCAACTCAAAGATTCTTTCAATTTCACTTTGTACTTCCGCTGAAAAGAGAAATAATAAATAGGTCTTGGTTAGTCTTATTAATTAGTTCTTATATTTAAAAGAAATAGTATGCTTTCAGATATGTTTGTCTTGTCTATGTTGCAAAATAAGACATTTTGAATTTTCATAGTCCTGTCTAATTTAAGATCTTTTCTAAATATAGAGAGAGACGGGTTCAGTTTTGCATAAAACAAGTTGGTGAAAAAAACTGAGATGCCTCTCTTGATTTGCTTCTTACACTCAACCTAATATTTAGCTATTTATATAACTATGGTGGTTTTTTGTGTTGTTTTTGATTTTGCTTTGTTCTAAAGAACTTTCATTTTAGCTATAGAAGCTGAAACCACATTTAGGAAACAACAGAAATACATGTGCAAAGCAACATCACATGGAAAATAAATGACACTGAAATATTTCTATCATATGTGATATATTAATCTTTTGTGTATATGCTTTTTGTAAAAAACCTCACAACTCACCTGTTTTGATTGATACGCATATTTTTGCACTCCTGGTTAATGTTCTGGGTCTACTCTTACAATTAGCATATTACTAAGTCTGGCTGAATTTAAGGATTGGAGCCAGTGGACTTGTTCTAAAGCATAATTATTTTCAGCATTTTAAAAAAAACAAAAGTAAGGCCAATTATATTAAAATGCTGCAATGCATCTAGATGCATATCTATTTGGCTGAATGTAACTGCCAAGTCACCCAAAACTGTGCATTTGAGTCTGGTCAAATGAAAAATTGACTTGTTTTAAATGTGCGAAGCAATCCAGCTACTTTTTTTTTTAAAGGAAAACAATTATCAAAACATAATATGACTTTCAGAAATACAAAAAAAGTTTTGTACATATTTTATAAATCACCTAATTTATTGGGTCATGCCCAAAGTTTTAATTAGACTATTTAATTTTCAGGAGAGATAATTTTTGTTTTGTTTTTTTACTTACTTTTATTTTGGGGCAATAGGTGTGACCTAACAATGTTGTAATCTGGTCCAGTGCACACAGAGTGGACAAAATCACTTGACTTAAATTATTTTAAAGATGGCCTACAGTGGCTGGGAGGCCATTACCTAGTACCAATGACCTGAAAGATGTCATGTTGCTTTGAAAGGTGACTAGCTTTCAGGACATCAATGTAAAGAAACTGGACAAGTAGGCTTATTTGCCAAATTCTTCTGAAATCATATTTTAAATTTGTTAGTAATAATAAACATATCTGTCCTTTTTTTCTCACACATCAGAAACAGTTAAGAATTTTTTTTTTCCTTTGGAAGGAAGTTTGGAAAATAAAGTCAATTTTTATTGTAGTAAGTTTCAGCATCAGGATGTTGGGGTGTGCTCTCCATTTGCTGTTTTCATTAAACCGTCACTGTTTTAAGGGAGCTCCTGGCCAGGACTATGCTGGAACAAGTCTATATTGTTGTAAGCTTCAAATCTGAATACAATATTTTCTGAGGCAGCAAAAAGACAGTGAGGCAAAGTGAACTGCCCTGGTGCAAGGAATCCTGAAGGCACTCTGAGTCACTGTGTAAATAACTCAGAAATACCTGGGCCTTATTTACTCTGCTCCAACAATGAGGTTAAGTATGGTTTTTGACAGAAGCAAGGGACAGGCACACCTACTGTTAACCAAGAGGAAACTCTTAGGCAACCAGCACTCTGACATAAGCAGAGAGGTGTGTGGGCAGAGCAAGCCCGAAAGGAGGATGCAAGGGTAACACTAAATGCTGGGCTGGGCCCAATATTTGGATAATATGTACACAGGATGTAATAAGTAAATTTTACATGTGAGGAAAAGACAGACATATTTATCTACATAAGCTTATTTTTTAAAGAAAAAAATCTCAACCAAACCAGACAATCTTGGCTCCCCAGACTGATTCTTAGAGGGGTTCCAATGCAGGTTTCCTTATAACCCTATTCTAGTCATATGAAGCCCTGGGAGGTCATGGACTATGTTGCTGGAGGACCTCAATAAAGACTTCTATAAGCTGACCACTACTGATCTGGGTCTACCTCTTTCCAAGATCTGTCACTGATAATCTTCCTGATACCTAAATCTGTACATATTTCTCCCATGCATTAAATACTTCAATGGCTCCCTAGGGCCTGAAGCACCATTTCCCAAAGTGAGTACCCTAGAACAGTAATCTTATAAGATACCCTATGGAAAGAAGGGGGGTTTATGCAAAGGATGGATGTATTGCCTACTGTAGTAGTTTCTCTTAGAATTTCGAACATGCATTACCTTTCATATCTTAAAAGCTCCTAAAGAGTCTCCTTAATTTGTCATTTCCAATTTATTTGACCATGGAAAACATTTTGAATGTAACAACTATTAATATCTTGTAAAATTAACATTTCATGAAATCTATTGTGGAGGTCTCTTTAGCAAAGGTCCAGTCTACTTTTCCAGTCTCTTCTGTTACTCTCGAGCCACACTCATACTCCCCTTTTCTAAGTGTGCTATGCACAAGTCTACTTGTTTCTCAACCATACATTTCTTTGTCAATGTCTTCGTACATTCTTGTCTGTCTTGAAGAACCAGCTCAAATATAACTTCTGTGGAGTCTTTTCACACATTGCTTACCTCCTACCCTACTTCTTTATACCCTAGCTCTTTGTTCATAATGCTGTTGTCAGAGAGTATTTTAATCATCTGTCCCTTCTTTCTCTTTGCCCATGGATAAGATACTGTGTCTTAGTTATGTCTGTATTTCCAAAGTCTAGCATAATGCATGGCACATAACAAGTGTTCAATAAACATTTGATGAAGGAATCTACAAATGTGCATCAACATGCAGACAAATGGACAAATGTAGATCACACAATGGTTATTAAAATAGACTGCCATTAAATTAACTATAATAGTAGTGGGCATATGACTTACAGAGTAAAGGTAAAAATCATGAACCATGAACTGAGATCTACTTTGTTTCTTCCTCAGTATTTACACTAACCCCACTGACTAGCCTACAAGGAAAGACTTCAGAGAATATCCATGAAGCCCTTGGGAGGTACCAATAGTTGCAGGAGTCAGGCAACCTAGCTTATGCTTTTAAGTGTCTTTTAGCCTCTCATCAAACATCAGAGGAAGGAGTGGTTAAAAGCCAAAGACACTATGAGGAGTTAGAAAGACAGTGGAAGACAGGAGAGAAGAGAATAGATACTTGTTTGAGAAATCTTCAACCTAATTGAACATCCTTGTCAGCTATGATGTCTGACTTTAGTCAGTTACCTAATCTGATTCACCATCAACACTGCCATTGTGACCTCCTTAAGGTCAAAATCCTTTGAGAATCTTTCACTCTGTGTGTGGAAGGCTCTAAATACAGGACTAAAGAAGGAACGACTAATCTCTGGGATCCTCCCTCACAAGCACTGACCATTATTCCATTTGGTATAATGGTATAATTCCATTTGGTTTAGCACTCTTCCACAAGGCAACCATCCAACAAATATTTATTGGCAATTACCACGTGCCAATCCCACACTGGGAAACACAGATGTTAACAATACTTTGTGTCTTCTTTACAACTTGCACAATCCTTGGCTCAAGTCAAGGCACAGCCGCCAATGGATTCTTGATGGGATGTTCGGGCATGCACTCCATCTTAGAAACCCTAATTTGCTACGTTTTCTGCCATCCACAGAGCTCATCTCAGTAGTTTAAAAAAATGTAGTGGCACGGAAGATCCCTGTCTATCTTTCCTAGTTAGAACAAGTTGCCCTCAGAATGTGAATGCAAAAGAGAATCCTCAGAAGTTGTGAGTGGACTACACCACTCTTAGCAATTGTGGAGACCACCGACAGGATTTCCAGATGAACAAAGCGATTCACCAGCAGCATGAACTCACTCCTGTGCATGAGGATTCCTCCTCCCAGCCCTGCTCTCCTATGCCTTGATGGGGCTGATCACTTACAGCTTTTTATTCTTTTCCATCATGGTGAATTTTAGGATGCTTTCCGACTGGTAGCCAGAAAAGACATGTTTAAACTGCCTGCATGTTATTAATGATGGTTTCCATTTATACTTAACAATGTGACTATTTTGCATACTACCAGCTAGCCACAGAAGCAATACTAAGAACACCATTGTCTGCTTTTTCTTCTAAAGGTCTGAGCAGGCTGAATATCTCATTTCCTTTCATGTCAGCTGTGACTCAGTTATGACAGATATCATTAGCCTCACTGAGAAGCGCAGGCGAAGCAGAGATGAGTGGTTTCCCGTGGTTAGGCAGCAAAAGTCTAGGAGAGCCCGTTGAGGATTCTTCCCACCAGACTACTAATTAGCTAATTGCCTAAAGCTGAGAGAGAGCAGGCTCCAGCTGCTGCAAGACTCTGCTTCCTTCTTGTCCATGTCTAGCATTGTCTTTAGGTATTGATCAGCGCTTCCCCATTCAGAATGGGAGCAAATTGGAAAAGACATTCACAAATGCACCATGTGTCACCCCGGTCTGTAATCACAGCTTGGAGAAGTACCACATTTGAACATCTTACCTAAGCTGGACCGGGTGTTCGAACGTTCAATTATTGCTCTCTTGCTGGGATTATTTAGGACAGACCTCTTAGCAAGAGAAATGTCAGCTGTCACTCTTGTTATTGATATCCTATGAATAGGAACACAGAACAGAACAAGCCAGTAAAAATGTTATGGGGCTCTCCAAGTGATTTATAACCACAGCACTTAATAACCAATTTACATACTACAGTGGAACCACAGTATAATAAACATCAGCTACATGTATTTTAAACAAGTTTTGGCTAGTATCGAAATACAAGCAGAGCAGAATGGAGGATAGTTTTGGCCATTTAACAAAAAAACTACTCCAGTGAAAATGCTTTTCCTCCATTATGGCCTGACTTACTGAATTCCCTTTATAATGCACACCACACCAGGAAAGAACCAAAACATATAAGTAAATCATGCTCTTTCTAGGAAGCAGCAATACAATTCCCCCACAATTCACAGTTGATTTGCTCTTAAACAAGACCTTCAGGAACTACCAGTGCTTTGCCCTGGCTTTTCAATGCTGCTGGCTAAAGGGGGAAACCTCATCAAAGACAACCAACCAGTAGGTGGCTAAGTTGCATGTCTTGTACTCAATAATTAATTCCCGATACATGAGCCATTTCCTCACAGGCCCAAAGGGACGCTTCATTTGTAAGAATGTGAAAAATATGGTTTCTTTTCTGCAGGCCCAGGATTCTTCAGCACATCTGCATGTGACTTTGAATGCATATGGTGGGCAGTCATAAGACACTTAGTTGAGGGCAATGTGAGTATCGTGCCAGGATTTTAATGAGTTTGAAAGTATCCTGCAGACGTGCAAGAGAAGAATAAAGTGAAGACACTGCAAATAAGTGGAGAAGAGTGTCTATTTGCATATGATTTATCAAATGAGAACATCTGGAACTTACAATTTTGAAACTCTTTATTTGAAACTGGGATTGCTCAACTTCCGATTATTATCTGTCTGTAGAATTCAAACTTTGCCTCTCTAATCCAGTTACTGCCACCAAAGGCCTTTCTCTATCCTTATCTTCACAGCTTGGCAGAATTCCCAGAAAGGAGACAAGAAAAGCAGCACCCCTTCCCTTTTATACTCAGTTAGTGCACCCATTCTCCTCCATTTCCAAACTCCTTGGGGGGTTGGAGTAGGAAAGAGGAAAGAGTTATTAACAATTATCGATTCGTACATCATCTCACACCTGTTTTTGGACAACACTGTCAACACTGTCAGGAAACTCTTTACCAACTTTAGTGACCCAAAGCCCTGGGGAGAATTTTAAATAGTCCTTTTCACAGATGGTTGGAAATTACTTCTTTAAAACAACAGGCTGTGCAAAAGTTCTGGTGCCATTTTAAGGCAAAGCATTGCTTGTCTGTACCATTGTATTTATAAACTGTAGGTGGTCAGGAAGTTTTAAATTCTTCAACTTTTAAAATTCTTAGGCCCTCATAATTACTTGACGCATCTTCAAATAGTCTTCTGCAGAAACCATGGGTTTTGCAGAAACACCTCAGGGACCATTCTGAGCACTAAAGGGAGGCGGAGTTAGTGGGGCTCCAGCTTTGCCCCTTCAATGCCAGGCAGACACCTCTGCATTTCTGTTTTCTTCCTTTTCTGTCTTTCTTTCTTTTTTTTTTTTGAGACAGAGTCTCACTCTGTTGCCCCGGCTAGAGTGCTGTGGCATCAGCCTAGTTCACAGCAACCTCAAACTCCTGAGCTCAAGCAATCCTTCTGCCTTAGCCTCCCGAGTAGCTGGGACTACAGGCATACACCACCATGCCCAGCTAATTTATATATATATGCGCGCGTGTGTGTGTATATATTTTTTTTCTTTAGTTGTCCAGCTAATTTCTTTCTATTTTTAGTAGAGATTGGGTCTCGCTCTTGCTCAGGCTGGTCTTGAACTCCTGAGCTCAAACGATCTGCCCACGTCAGCCTCCCAGAGTCCTAAGATTACAGGAATGAGCCACCACGTCCAGCCTTCATTTTTGTTTTTTCTACATTGGAGCTTTATATCTGATTTCATTGTAAAAAGTTGTTCAACTGCTAAAAAACACTAGAAAACACTGGTGTAAAAACTTCTTCATTTCACCAAGAAGGAAACTGAGACCCAGATGAGAAGCTGCATGTGGTTAGTCAGCCACAGGCTAAGCAGTTCCAAACCAGGCCCCAGCGTCAGGTCAGTACTCAGTCACCTGACCCCATAATTCTCTTTCAGTTCCGCTTTCTTCTCCAGAGACCCCCAATCTCCAGATACGAGCCAAGTCATCAAGCACAGATACACAGTCAGTCTTAGCCTTGCTCTGAGACAGTCAGGATTTAAGTCAGGTTGAGGCTGGTTGAAGCCCACAGCTGAGTCTCCATTACTCAGTTGGCCACTGCAGCTGGGAGGCAGGAAATCTCATAGGCAGCTCCTTTTCTTTACAGAATAACATTTTCATGTTTATTTTCGTGTTTCTGGGTTTCTTGTTTGTTTGTTTTAAAAATGGAGCTGCTGGATTGAAACATAGAGTCATGTTCCAGAGCAATCCAAATACTGGAGATGAGTGGGTAGGTTTAGGGACAGAATTCAACTTGCTTGAATAATGATGTTTGGAAGGCCCAAAGATTCTTTTCTGCTTAAGTGAAAATCATATTTTTTTAGTTCTATACAAGCAAATGGCTTTTGGTTCTTAAAATATGAAGGGATTATCAACAGATGCACCTTCTTATTTTTTTCTGAGTTTTAAAAGCACTTTTACAAAGCAATGTTCAAACACAACTAAAGTTTAACAAAATATAGAAAACAACCACTTAACATATCTCAAAAATAGAGGAAAAGGTGTGGATAATAAGGTGTTCTTGTTTATATTTTATTGGCTAATAAAAATACAAGTTAATTTTCTAATACACGTTATTTGTTAATAAAAATACACACACATAACACAGACCTCAGGAGAAGTGAGATAGCACTCTAGAAACCCTTCAACAAGACAAAATAGAAATTTCTCTTTTCTATGCAAAGATTATTACTATTATCAAAAACCAACACCCCAAATTCTTTTTTTATAAAAGGTTCCCTAGAAAAGTAAATATATTCATAATTGAATGCTATCTAACTTATACACATTTTGTTTTTACTTAAAGTGGTATCCTCTTTCTACTTCTTTTCGTGCTATATTCAGAACAACAATTGTCTTTAAGCACTCCTGTGCATCTTGTTCCATATCCATCTCTAAAAATTCCCTTGGAAACCTTTCTGTGACAAGTGTTAGTAGTTACTGGCCAGTTGGTAAAAGACTAATAGGAGTTCAGCAGATTGGATGTAGCCATAAATGTCCCTGAAAATAAGCAAAAACCATTCCCTAAAACCAGTAAATCTGAACCCCAACCATTGCTTATTTCCACTTTGGAATTCATCATAACTGCTGCAATCCATCAAGAGCGATGAGTATTAGTTTTTTATACTATTTCTGTGGAAAGATACTTTCAGTTATGATACATTCATTCAAAATTAATTGGTATTTCCATGTTGCTAACATCACAGCTATAAGATCCTTCTGTACTCTATCCTTGCTACATCTAATATGTAGCCCAGTCAGTACAATAACTTTTTTAAAATTTCTAGTAATAAGAGGGAAAAGTGTTTCAAAGAACAGAAGAGTGCACTGTCAGGAAAATGCGAATGAAAGACACAGAAGAACTGAGTATTTTCCTGGATCTTTCTCTTGGTGGTTGCATGACCATGGACAAGTCATTCCATCTTTTTAGATTCAGCATCCTAATCAATAAAAAGGCAACAGTGGCTTTGTCATAACTATCTCATTAGGAGCAAATAAGGTAACATATAAAAGTGCTTTCTGAAATAGTTATTCATAATGTCCTATGTTGACAGGCACATATATAATGAATACAAGGCAAACTATTATTATTGGAGATTTGAAGACTTGAAGGAGATAGTTTCCTTATAGCCTATCCACAAAAGTTAGCAGTCTACCATGAACTCTCCCATTCCCAGAGTCTGTGAAATGTAGGAGGAAGAATTAGGTCAGACATATTGGAATCCGAGCCTACTAATTTAAATATTCAAGTTTGACATTAAAGTGTTTAATTATCAATAGTGTTTGAATGCCCACTGATGAGCTGGTAGTCGAATAGAAAACAGCAGGAGTTTATAAGAGAATAATATTGATTAGGAAACAATCAAGTCACTGCTCTCTTTCCATTTGGTGACTGCAATTACAAATTGTTTTCATTTTTACATGGCTTGGCTGCTTTATGATAGCACCAATTGTTTCCACTTCCTTTTAAAAATAAACACTATCTCTTTGATTTCTATTAGTTCCTAAGTTGTATTCTTAGCTTCTTTTTTTTCAATTCTTTCTCAAACCCCTTTTGTTTTTTCCTTTACATGTTCCTTGGCCAATAGCTTCCTTTAGCTTAATATCCTATCTGTGTAGGTTACATGATGTTCATCTAGGATTTTTGAGCAGTCATGTCAGTTACAAACTATCCAATAAATGATAGAGCTGATCTGATCCAGTTGTCAAAAAGCCTAAAGTAACAACTGTTTTGGGATTTGAAATGGTTAGAATAGATCCACAAACTGCAGTTGGTTTAACCACTTGCTGTTCAGCCTCTGAATGTCAGATTCAACCAGCTGAACAAATCCAAAAGGATGATTCCCTAATTAATGGTTGTGGTGTGAAATGAAGAGAAAAGCTCTGAGCCCATTGTATATCCACTGTGTCCTGGGTGGGCTGGTGCTTCTTGGGTTCACTTAGTTTATGGTCTGTGCACAGGAATCATCACTGCATGTGGATACTCACATACACAAAGGGCCCTCAGGAACTGTTTAGTGTCGTGCTTTTCATTTTTCTTGCATATATTACAGTTAGTAATACATGTTAAATTTTATAATAATAAATAGCTCTAAGCTGACTCAAGTCATTTCTCAGGTATCAAAACAACCCCAAGTTTATGATTCTGCAGTAGTCAAGCTGCTGGACTTTAATCCAATTTGTTGTAATATTTTCTAACCAAGATCTGAAAAGCAGTATTGAAGAAGAAAGCCTCTTACAGCCAGTGGATCCCTTCTTAACACTTTCTGGAAAATAACAGGACTTTCTCCTGATTATTTTCCCTAACCTGCAGTATTCACAGCCAACGAAACACAGAGTAGGTTTCCATTAGAACATATTGTTTATGTTGCATCACTGTGCTAAAGCCTTCCATGTAATTGTTCTCTTGGCTGGTTTCAATTAAAGACTATTTGTTGTTTTCTCTCCTTTTATTAATTGGTGGAACATAATGCAGCAGACTGTCATAGCTCCAACATAAGGATATTCCCCATGCCGAAGACATGTCAGAATGAGTGTGAAGCTATCAGTGAATTTCCTCTTTCTTATCAAAGTCACCACATATACTCTACCAATGAACTCATTACTGATTTCCTGCTGCATGGCCTCTCAATATTTAAAAGGAAGTCTACTCTTACCCTCACCTTTAATATCTATCTTTCTCTAACTCTGTCATACATCAGATCTCTCCAGGGCACTAAGTCTCTGTCTCCAGCTATTACTTTTGCCGCTGATGAATTCTTCCTCCAGACCTTCTGCCGTGTCATCAGATCCTATGAACACCTGGCATTAAAAGTTTCATTCTACTTCTATTAAAACCAACTTCAATAGTGTGTATACAGTGATCAATGCAGACAATTCTACTTGATTCAAGACAAGTCTCCGCTGTTACAATTAAGTAAATTTCCTCTTTCTGGGCCTCAGGAGAGAGGAAGAACATCAGAGTCTTCATTCTTAAAAGCAGTAGTTACGCCACTCACTTTCTCTTTGCTAAACTGTCAGAAATCTTTTCTTCTTTTCCACAGTTCAAACCTTTGATAACACTGCTGTCTGTAAGTATGTTATGTGGGGACCAAAACAATCTAACACAAACTTAGGCTGTGTTATGGGATGAGAGATTAGTTCAGACTGAGGGCTGTTATGGGGCCGGAGGATGAGGCACTGATCAAAATTGCCTTGGTTCTGTCATATTGGTTGCCTGAAGAAAAAAAAAAAAAAACTGCCTTGGGTTGAGACACCCCAAGTTGGACCACTGACTCCAAGCATAGCTGAAGGCACAGTGCACGTGCAAACACGATGCAGAAGACTGGGCCATGCGTGTTGGCTGCCCTCAATCCACAGAGAGCTGTATGAGGGTAAGGGTTCTGGCCCAGACCATCAGAAGGCAGGACCAAGACCAATACTGTTAAGTTAAAGAGTCAGAGTTCAGTTGTTTCTTTGTGATGCTTTTTGAGGAAGTGAATTCCCAATAGCTATAAGTTTTCAAACACAAGCAGGTCATCTGATTGTGGTTGTTGCAGAAGGGGAGATGAGACTAGAAGAACTTTGACATTTCCTTCCAACTCCAAGATTCTAGTATTCAGTACTTTCCACTTGCTTTCTTTGAATCTACTTCATTCTATGCCTATCTTTTTTTTTAAAAAAGAGTGGGATGGGATAAGCACATGTCTTTCTTATTAAGCCCTTTATGTCCACGAGATGAATGTGGCAGAGACTGTCATTGGTTCAACAAAATCTATCTCCTCTTCCTCCTGGGTAGTTAGCTAGACTGTATTGCTCAGCCCAAGTCCTAACCAATGAAACGTGAGAAATGATGTGCACTGCCTCCAGGCCCGGCAGTTCCTTTCCCTGACCAGCTCACTGGAGAGATCACCTCCCAACCTCTCCTCCCCCTCCACCCCCCAGCGAAGGGCCCCAAGTGACCAGTGGAATAAACTGTTTGCCCAATCCTCCCCTCCCTCTTCTCTACCCTCCCTCCCAGTCAAAGAACACCTGCCTCAGAATGTTAAGTGGCCAAAAATAACATTGTGTTTAAATCATTATACATCTTCAGGTCTAATGAACTTAAAAGTTCACATAATAGCACAGAAGCATTCTTAGTTTTTGAACTAAAATCCCAGTTTATTTTCTTTGTATATAGTTCCTAAAACTAATGAATATTTTTACACGATTATACAGAAGGCTTTTCTTTTGACAAATATGTACAATTTATACTTAAAACATTGTCATGTTCACTTTTTTCCTAAAATACCAATTTATTAAAATCTACTTGAAGTTTTTTTTTTTACATTTTTAAATTATTTAGTGTACTTAAGGTGATAAATTGGATGCATTTACCCATACTTTTCTATATACAACTATTTAAATTTTCTATATGTTGGTAAGTTTTCAGGTTTTTTCATGTGTTTATTTTATTTGGAGTGCATTCTGCATTATGAAAGAGCTTAATATTTAGGATTGAGTCAATATGGATTTTTCTCTGAAAAACACAGAAACTCTCTCTAGACATTTTGCACAAAACTAAAATTATTGGATGACTAAAGACTGAGCTATATTGATGAGTCACAGCAAGATACATACAAAATAGATTAAAAAAAAAGATAACAAAGTCATTTCTAATAAAACAAACCCAGAACTAAACACCCAAATAAGTATTATTTCCTACAAAATAGTCACTTTGGGAGGCTTATGATGAAAACAATTCTCACACACTTCCTTTTGTGGAAATTCAGTACTTGATACCTTCATTCGACACACACAAACACACACACACACACACAAATTCCCAAATATTACCTGGCTTGACCAGCAAGCCACCATATTCATCAAAAATATTATATATTTTAATCAACATTTTTTTTTCTTCTTTTTTTATAGGTACATTTCAGAAGTGAATTTTTTTTTTTATTTTTTTTTCTTCTTTTTTTGCTTTTTTAACATTTTTTATAGAAACCATTTTGGTATGAATTCACTAATAAGTGAGAAAATAAAGACACATACATTTGAATAAAACAAATGGCTTATTTCCTTCTCAAGGCGCTTTTTCCCTTGGGGATTCAATGCTATACTTCATATTTTCAGAGCTCTTTCATTATATTCTTCCCAAGAATACTGAGTTAACTTTTAATTAGAGCACTTCTGCAATCTCTGGAAACATAGATCCACAAATCAATTTATCATACATGTTTGGTTAAAGGAAAATAAAAATACAAAAACATCTATATGTCTCACCTCCCATCAAACCTGTGCTTCAGGAAATCAAAGAGGGCTTTCTGCATCATGTCTGTTACCTTTGCAGAGGTGAGAAAAAAAGAATGAGGCAAACACACGCAGAGAGAGAGAGAGAGAGAGAAGTCAAAAGTGAGAGAGGTGGGAGGGAAGGGCGCTAGGAATGAGGAAAGACCTTATCACAGCCAGTCGGCTCCTAGGGGGAGGTTAGCATGGAAGGTGTTTTTCATGCGTAATCCTGTGCAATTGCTAATTTTCCCCCTTGGTTTTTCTCCCCCTCTCCCCCTTCCCACTGCTGCCAGCAGAAAACAGGCTGGCTTTGTACACAGTCACTGGCCATCCTTGACACGCCTGAGCTATGCTCGCCTCCAATGAGGAGCAGCTAGAGGCCAGAGGCCAGCCCTGGGCTTTAGCTGTCCTGCTGGTCTATGCATGTTGGGGAAAATTCTCCATGCCCAGGGCTGGGGTTGTGTAGACCACTCTCCTGCTCATCTCTCTGACATTTCCAACTCAGAGAAAGACAGAATGAGAGAGAGAGAGAAAGAGAGAGAGAGAGAGAGAGGATTCTTACATCTGCCTCAAAGAGATTCATTAATTCATTCAACAAATGTGTACTGAGTGCCTACTATGTGCCAGACATTGTCCTAGCTCAGTGGGAATGTGCCCTGGAGGGTTGCCCACCTTGATTTTGATGTCACATCCCCCTGTTTTTATCCATGCTAGCACAAAGTCAAATAGCAACATCCGAAATGTAGTATATCTAAGTCACTACTCTTTTCCTGGTTATACGATATCACTTCATTAAATCTCCAAAGTTCACTAATGTTTTTAGTGGCTTCTTTTCTATGTGTCCTTTAAAATCAGTAAGCAGAGAAACGGGTGATGGAATATGCCATCACCTTGAGCACCCAGCAGGGTGAGATTTGTTGGTGCTTTGAGGGGTTAGGCTTGCCAGGAGATTGTTTATATGTTCCCGTGTGCTGTTCATTCTCTGTTGTTTCTCATAATAATGGGAATGGTCAAAACAGATAAAGTCGTTTTCTTTGAATTTAATGCAGAGCAAATCTTTGACCAGAATTCCCCATTGTAAACACTGAGAGGGAGTTCTTCCTACGCAATGTAATACAGAACAGATGAGAAGCGTGCAAGAGAGGAAGGAGAGGGCAAAGGGCCACCGGAGTCCCACACTGTACCACCCGCCTTCACATCCTGAGAGCTGGCTGCCGTCAGTCCCGGTACGTAAACAGACCCCGGAGGAGCAAGCACCGGAACGACTGTCTCCTGGGTCCTCGATCAAGAACGGAAGAGTAACAGATGGTATTTGTACCTCATAACCTTTCAGGGACGGCCCCACTAACACCACCGGGCGCATGGATGGCACAACATCATAAGGAGGAATGTGCTCCGTCTGAAAGAGATGATTTGACACACGTGACAAGGTGAGGCCGAGCGCCCCTCAACAGCCACAACATTCATAACTCTCAGGTCACCACAGGTCCCCACCGAGGAGGCTCATGCCTTATGTTACGGCCATTTGGGTTACTGGCCTGGAGCACTGCAGGCATGGATGTATGGGAACATTAACGGTAGATTTAAAAAGGAAACATAACTTACCACTTTTTGCTTCTGTTTTGCTAAAAGACAACAATGAGAGCCATATCAAAATACGTAATCTCTGTAAATGACAGTATCCTGAGTTTAAAAGATGGAAGAATGTCCCCATTTGTCCCTGTGATTATCTTTATCACTTCCCTATCCCCCATTCTGTAGAGCTCTGCTCTATTTTTTTTCATTCTAGACATGTCAGTTTTAAAGACATATGGAAAACAGACAACTTCCTTCCTGGATGAATGACCTTATATCCTGACTTTGTGCTGGGCAGGGGTGGTAGACAGGAGTTCACACCAACATTGGAAGTTCCGGGCCAGCCCTTAACCATGGGTCGTCCCTGTGCTAGACACAGCACAGTGTGGCTGGGAAGAAGTTCAACAAATACAGTTTGATAAAAGGAAACAGGAAAACAATTTCGGGGAAAAAAATGACTATCATCTCAATCATTAGTTAATTTTGTATATGGAACTTTGGTGAACCATGAGATAATTTTGCAGTCCCTTAGAGATTTTTGTCCATTTTCTAAAACAGTGACCCATTTTTTTCCTACTATGTTGCTTTTAAATTTCGAATAAATTTATAACCAGTGATTCCTGTTCTTTCCTGTTTGTAATAGCAAAGAACTGCAGTGTCCTGAGTGTCCAAAAAATGGGAATGAGGCAAAATATACTCAATATCTGATTTAAAGTGGCTTTGTGGCCACCCAAGCAGGTCCAGTCTGTCTGGGGGCAACTCAGAGACCTAGTCTGGTTCAGTGCCCTGAGATCAGGAGGGACTCGGATGCTTAGAATTGTTCCAGAGCCAATCCTGTTTCCTGTCATGGGAGGCCAGAATGAAACCTTGGACTTGCCATTCTGAATTGGTAATGGAATTGGAGTTGGCACTCAGGACACTGGATGCCCTAATGCAGTAGCAGTTCTGGGCCAGAATGAAATTAGCCTGTGGGACTCTGGGAAAGAGGTGGAAGAAACATTCCTGCATGAATCCCTCCATAATTTCCAAATGCACCACAAGTCCCAATTAGGCCACCACTGTCCCTTCATGACCATTAATTCTAGGACCCAGTTGTCTGCTGTTCAGATACAAATGAGGCCATACCTCATCCGGGCCCTGCCTCATTCTCTGTTTTAACCCTCCCAGCCTCCATAGCCCCAAAGTTTCACATGGAGACTGAAACAGAGCATTTTCTTGAGAGTCTAACATATTTTTGTCTTTTTTATGGGCCCTCACCATCTTAAAGTCTGTTGGGTTCTCGGGTAGAATAATATTCTTGTTGCAGATTGATTTATACAATGGGTAGTCAGTGACTCTAAGGGGTAAATAAAATTTTTCAAGATTCTGTTAGAATGATCTGAATTTTTAGTACCATTAGAACTCTTTAAATCAAGTAAAATTACCATAGAAAGCAAATAAGCAATGAAATATTAAATAGAAAAACCTTTAAATCGTTTCCAAATTAGTAGAAATACTTGCATGTGTGTTCAAAAAGGAATACATTCCATTAAAAAGAGTTTAACTAAAACCCTCACCTGTTGATGTGGGAGTTGCTCGAAATGTCCCCGATACCATTTCTCCAAGACTTGAAGAAGAATTTCCACTTGATTTCCTAGGATATAGAAAAGGAACTTAAGACTCACTCCCCAGATTCTTTGAAAATAGAACTTAAAAGTACAAAGTTTTCTTTGGCCTCAATCCTACTAAATAATTCAAAACACACCAAATCCTGCTATAGAGAAGAACTTCAAGAATCTGTCTGTCCAAATATTTTCTTTGACCTCATTTCTCAGAGAAAGTGGGGAATGAACTGGGATCCGGAAATATTTTGCAAAATTATCTCTTCTAGTTTTTCAGTGCAGAAATTAGGCAAAAGAATCACTGGCGGGAATGTTTCTGTGAACTGCCTGCTCGCCTAACACCCATCACCAATGTGCCAGTCAGATGTTGGGCACAGCTCAAAACAAGCCAGAAGACCTGGAGAAACCATTGCTTCTTAAAAACGATTATGTGGGAGTCTGAGTTAAGAATTAGCCGTAAGGAACTGGTCACAAGTGATTTTATTTGTGACCCAGAATGGAAGATCATCAACACTGGTCTCTTCATGTGTGTTTTGGAAGCTTCCCAGGAGCCCACAGAGGCCACCGAGCTGCCGCCTTTCCACTTCCCTTGCGTCCCTCCCTTTTAGTGCTTAACAGTATGATCCCTATAGTCAGAAAAATCCTATTTCCCATCCAAGACTTGCCACTTACTAGTTGTGTGAAATCACATCTTTGAGTCTTAGTTTCCCCATCTATAGGAGATGCTCTATCTCACAGGGTTGGTATAAAGATAAAATATAAGCATGTCTGTGAGCTCTTGGCTTTACTATTGCACCTGCCACAAGGTAAGCTTTTTAATTCAAAAGTATAGCCAGTCATGCAATGCTTACTGAAGAAAATGTGTCATTAGGTGATTTCATCATTGTGGGAACATCTGAGTCTATTTGCACAAACTTACATGGTATAGCCTACTGCACACCTAGGCTCTGAGGCATATAGCCTATTGCTCCTAGGCTAGAGACCTGTTCAGCATGTTACCGTACTGAACACTGTAGGCAATTCTAACACAATGGTAAGTATTTGTATATCCAAATATAGAAAAGGTACAGTAAAAATACAGTATTATAATCTCATGGGACTACTGTCATATATGCAGTCTGTCATTGACCACAATGTCGTTATGTGACACATGACTATAATGGTATTATGGAATAATTATAATAACTATAAAACTCTGGAAGAGATGATCATTCAATTATTATTTTATTCAACAAATACTGATTGTGCATCCCTGTTCTGGAAGCTAGGAATATAACAGCGGCAAGGGCCAGTGGGTAGGAGGAGACCAAATTCCATTCCTTACTGAGTCATATTCCAGTGGGAGATGTCAGTACTGGCTGAACATCCCTTATCCAAAATAGATCCCTTATCCAAAGTAGAAGTGTTTCAGGTTCCAGATTTTGTTCAGATTTTGGAATATTTCATTACATACTTACCAGATGAGCATCCCTAATTTGAAAGTCTGAAATCCAAAATGCTCCAATGAGTGTTTCCTTTTGGAGCAATTTGGATTTGGGATTTTTGGATTACAGATGCTCAAACTGTACCAAACAAGATAAACAGGTAAGTATATTAATATAATATTTCTGAGAGTAATAAGTGCAACAGAGAAAACTAAGTCAGAAGGGATAGGAAGTGCAGGGAAGGAGAGTGGGTACAATTTTAAATACAGTTGGCAGGAAAGGGGTCCCTGGAAAGGTGGTATTTAACAAAGATCTAAAGCAGATGAAGGCGTGACCTGGTGAAAACGTGAAGGAAAGGGTTCCAGTAAGAGAACACAGCAAATGCAAAGGCCCTGAGGCAGGAGTATGTGTTCCCAGTGTGTTTAAGGAAAAGTATGGAAGATAAAAAAATTCAGAGAAGAGGGAACAAGAGGGATTAACAATTAATAATAGTTTAGGCATGTTATATACTAAAAAATACTAATAATTAAAGTGGGGATAGCTATACTTTTGTGATCTATTACTGTTGGAGAGGTTCCCATTACAACAAAAGCAAAAGGGCCTCTAAAGAACAGAGGAGGTTTTGAAATATAAAGTGTCCTGTAGAAAACGGAGGTTGAGGGTCAAGAGAAGAGCTGCTTCTATTTCAGGGCTTTCAAAAAAATCCTAGCACGTATCACATCCGTGCTCTAGTGCGGGCTGCAACACAATGTATGGGGGCCCAGCATGATACGGATTTCTCTTCTCTCCAGCTTTGCTTGGGTTCCTTGGACCTTTAAATCCTGCACTGTAAGATCTACGTGGCTTAGACCCGTTCACAAGAGGCTGATGCATCAAAGCTAGACAGTATCTTCACCCCAATGCCGGGAGGTGATCGATGCCACAAAAAGCCGGGGATGGAGAAGGTGCTACTAGTGCCGGGAACTGCATACACCATCACATTCTGTGCCCTCTCGGGGGACACTCTGAAAGGGAACCATGAGGAGCCAGAGTGCTGAGTCAAGTCACTTCCCACTTGCTCTGCTGAGAAAGGATGTCCTAGGTGACTGGCACAAAGGGAAGCTTGGGTTCCAAGGAGGCTTGCTGAGGCCACGGGACACGGTCTCCACTGCGTAATTGTGCATGGATTCCCGTGGTGCTGGGCTTCAGTATGCAATGGGGACAGCAAGCCACCTGATACCTCTGTGTCAATTTCAGAAACACCTCATACCCGGGAAAGTATCTTTTACTTTGAATACATATGTTTTTAACCTAAGAAGCAAACTTGAAAATATCACCTAATTTTCCTACCTGCACAAAAAATATATACATATAAAGGATGGAACCTTACCCTCCGTGAAAACGTCCTCTTTTTTGTTCTTGCTGAATCCTTATGTTCTCCAATCTGAGTGGACTCGGAATGAAGCCAATCTCACAGCCCTCTTTCACCAGCCTTCCTATCCACCAATCATTGTTATATTTCTGGAATTCAGAAATAAAACTGCTATTAGTAATTCACCAATCTTCACATTCTATTAACTAATTTCAGCGGACCAGAAAAATGAAACACTGTTTCTATAATATGATATTATACTATATGACATATATAATATATAAACTATAATATGTTATAAGTTACTATGGTACCACCGTATTTCCTCGAAAATAAGACCTACCCATAAAATAAGCCCTAGCAGGATGTCTAAGCAATATAAGCACAATATAAGCCCTACCCCGAAAATAAGACCTAGTGATGGCTGTGGCTACGCAGCGTATCTGCACAACCCATGCATTTCGTCATGGAGCGGTAAAGAAGACGAGCAGCCCTTCTCATCTGCCCCATGAGAGCTTTATTGCTCGACATGAGAGATTGGAGCCAATGGTTCTAAAGAAAATAGAGTTGCAAGAAGTTCAGGATGGAATTTGGGGTTTGGAGAGTTAGGATGATGTTCCAGAAGAAGACGACTTAACTATAATTGAATAAATGTAGATTGTTGTACCGTACTTAAAAAAAAAAACCAAAAACACATCCCCTGAAAATAAGCTCTAGGGTGTCTTCTTGAGGAAAAATAAATATAAGAGCCTGTCTTATTTTCGGGGAAACACGGTATGTGTATCTGAGGCAGGTTCATGGACTAATGCACGGTTCTGCAAACTTTTTCTGTAAAGGCCCAGATAATAAATATTTCAGGCTCTGCAGGCCATATGGTCTCTGTTGCAACTAGCTGAATCTGCTGTCTTTGTGTGAAAACAAAACCACAGATAAATAAGTGAGTATGTCCGTGTTTCAATAAAACTTTCCTTTATAAAAAAAGGCGGCAGGCCAGACTCAATCTGTGGGCTGTAGTTTGCCAATCTTTAGACTAATGTCTTGCCCCAATCTTTGGATTCCTCTGATCCTTGTCAAGAAGCCCTAGCCAGTCCTTAAGGAATAGATTTTATAAGGATAAATATGCATCAGTGTAAATGAACTTTGGAAAGCAAGACAGGTATGTCTGAGATGAAATATATTCAATAGTCTGTTATTTGTCCAAAGCTTTCAGGTAAAAATTCCATGATACTGTCTGTGGTCTACCCTCACTGGGGAAGAGTTATAATCTTTCAAATACAGGTTTGCAAATTAAGGTCCATCTTATTCTTTGAAGAAAAAGAAGTCTCCTCTTACAAGGTCTGAGCATACTATATATTTGTATGTGGAATTTTGGAAGTAATTTCCACACGGCCTGAAGCCCAAAAGGAACACCAGGATTTCCACGCAAAAAAGTCCCATGACTTGTAAACTTGAGACACAAGTCCCCGTCGTGGCTTCAATGTGGGGTGAGATTCTGTCAATAGGGCTTATGTGATGATTCAGCAAAACTTCATTTGTAATTATAAATTTGCTGAATCCTATGACAGAAAGCAATTTACTCCAAGCCACCTGCCTCAGGGAAGGTTTCAGTTAGGTCATTTCCAGAAAACAGATATCAATCTTATGTTTTAAACTCTCCAGAGATGAGATTCCAAAATCTTCCTTTATTATCTTTATCAGTTTTAAACAAGATAACTCTCCCTCTTTGATCTAAAACATATATATTTGTAAATATATATATAGTTTTAAAGTGTAACAACTATATGCAGTAGGCTTTGCTTAGCTCAGAGAAAAATAGAATATATATATATGAATATGATATTGACACATTGTGAAAGAGGAATAAATGATTTCACTGAATCATCACAGCATGAAATTCTGAGTATCTTTGAGTCATTCTGAGAAACAGTCTCACACTCTAAAGAAAAATGATTCAGTAGGGATTTGGTCTTTATTATGCACACAACTCCTCCACAAGGCATGCATGGCATGTAATATGAGATTGCATTGAAAGAAATGTGAATTGGCCTAACATAAAATCTTGAACAATCTAGGTGGTAGTTTTCCCCATCTTCCCGTCTTTTATTTCAGGGTAAAAGGCCTGTTTATTTTGGAATTAACAAAAGGCAAAGGGACCCTTTTAGAATCTTTGGTGCATAGGTCTGGAATTTAAATTTTACTACAGTGGGGACAAAACAGATTATGAGTCATAGTTTCCTAGGGCGTAAGTTATTTCCTAAAATGAAGTGAGCCCATTGGAACACTAATTTGTTAAATGGTACCCCGTGACCTTAAAGGGCTTGCTGAAATGGTTACTGCAACTTCCCACGATGTTTTAACTTAGTTCTAGGAAACAGCTCAAGCTCAGTGAGAACCTCACTTAATATGAATGAAAGTTCTTTGAGCTACTGAGGAGAAAGTCACTATGTAAATTCAAGAGCTTAATTTGCTTACCATTTGGCTTACGTGACAAGCATAACTGTAGCTTTTCTCTGCGTTCAAGCTTTTTCTTATTCCTGAGAAAGTACTTAAAATGATGCATAATAAATGGCCTTCTAGGTGATGGATGAGAGAAAAGGCTACCACTTGATTATAGAATTGTGTTTATTTGTGTTGATGTTCTGGGAGCTTGTGCCAGCTCTCTGGAAAGGTCACCTTAAGTGTTATTCCAATCCTTCTCATTTTGATTTCCCTACAATGATTAGCACTTTCTCTTTCTAAGATGTTTTCTTATCTCATATTTCAAGATCTGAAAACGGTGGCTTTGGTCCACACAGGGATTCCCAGCTCAGTACCAGACATCAAAGTGCCAGACTGAAAAGAAAGTCACTGATCAACAAGCATGTGGATCAAAAAGCAACCAACAGGACAAACTGAGATATTGACAGAATGCAGGAGAGCCACAAAATACAACAAGGTTGGGATGTTGGTGTGAGTGGGGAAACGCATAGCATGTGAGAACTTCTTTTACCGTCTAAAGAGCTGCTTCTCCTTGGACACGACGGGGGTTACCAGCTAATGAATATGGCTTGGTCATTTTTGATGGGAATGGTAAGACAGAACCAACTGAACCATTCAGATGCTGGGACACATGGTCCAGGCCAAGGGCCCTAGTCTTCCAGGCAAATGCAAGACATCCTCACCTCATCCACCATTGAGAAAGTAGAAGCCATCAAGCTGATGCGGCCTCAGTTTCCCATCACCACAGCTCTGAGCTGCCTGTGCCTGCACCCATCTCCTTCCTGCACATCACAATGAATGAGTGTCCCTCTTTCTAGCAAAGGTCTGTCCCTCCACGAGGGGTCTGGATCCCACCCTTCCTGCCTACTCAAAACCTCTGCCCTTTTGCCTATCTCTCCTTGCCCATCAATCTCCCCCCACTATCTGGTAACACCAGCAGGTACGGGTGCTCCTGTGGCTCCCATCTTGAGGGAAGACTGGACTTCATGCCCTCCTTAGTTTACCACCTAGTCAGTGTCAACCTCCTTGAAAGCACAGTCTCCACGTGCCAAACACAATTCCTAGCTCCTTTCTCTCTTTGTCCCACTTAATTTGGCCTCTATTTCTACAGTTCCACAGACAATGGTCCCAGGGACCTCCTGCTGCTGATCTGGACTGTGGGATGCAGAGTTTCCTTTTTTTTTTTTTAAGACAGAGTCTCACTTTGTTGCCCAGGCTAGAGTGAGTGCTGTGGCATCAGCCTAGCTCACAGCAACCTCAAACTCATGGGCTCAAGAGATCCTACTGCCTCAGCCTTCCGAGTAGCTGGGACTATAGGCATGTGCCACCATGCCCGGCTAATTTTTTTGTATATTTATTTTTAGTTGGTCAATTAATTTCTATTTTTAGTAGAGACGGGGTCTTGCTCAGGCTGGTTTTGAACTCCTGACCTTGAGCAATCTACCTGCCTTGGCCTCCCAGAGTGCTAGGATTACAGGTGTGAGCCACCGCGCCCGGCCGGGATGCAGAGTTTCAATGAACGACTTTCAAAATTGATTGTATCTTTACCAAGCACATCTCGCTCTGGACTGGGGAGTGTGTGAACGTGGGCTCAGTGACATTACGTGATATGGATATGCTGATCACATTCTCCGGCACCTTCATTCCCAGGTCTCACTTTACTGTTCCTCCTTTATGTTCTCCTTTCTTTAAGTTTCTATTTCCAACATCTCCCTCCAGGCAGGGCAAACGGAGACCACACAAAGTGGGAACATCTTTCAGTGCACGCCCCAACCTCATCAGAAAACTCTGTGCAGAACAAGGAAGTTCTAGAAAGGTAAGACTCTCCTCCTGACTCAGCCTAATTCTTGGGCCCATTCTCCAGATGTCGTCTCCTGCCCTCTACTCCAGCCCTTCACCCGATTAGCTGTCCCCTTTTCCTTCCAATACATTTTACTGGGTTCAGCGTCTCAGCATGGAAAACATGCTTCATTCAATCTTTCCCATCCTACAAAGCACAAATGTAAATCCAATTTTAAAAATGCTTCCTTAGCTCTATGCTATCTTCCCCTGGCTAGAACCCATTGTCCCTTTCAACTGCAAGCATTTACAAGGAGCAACTGCAATTCCTCTCCTCTGGCCTCCACATTATGTGGGTAAGAGGGACTTTTAAGAATCTTCATGGGGAGTTCCATGATGCCCCAGACACAGGGTACCCCAAAGCAAATTCATAAGCATGCCCCTCTCCACAACACATCTGCTCCCCTCTGTCTTCTCTGTTTTGACATCTGATAACCCCCCCTCTATCCTTTTAAGCAAGCCAGAAAAACTGGCCTCCATCCTTCCTTTCTCTCTACCTCCCTTTCCCTACTCTCCCCACCCCTGTGAAATCTCTACATTGTGTCTATGTGCCCCTAACTCTCTCTCCGAGCTGCTCCCTCTCTCTATCTTCTCTGCCACAACCATGTCTCCCTCTATCTTCTCTGCCACAGCCATATCCAGTCTCAGGCGTGTCTCCCTGGCCCTCAGCAATACTCCCCTGCCCATCGGCGTTATCATTCTAAGACAGAAGGTTGGTCACATCCGTCCTTTATTTAAAATTCCTCTCCAGTTAACTGCCTGGTAATAAAGTCCAGGCTTCCTGCCAAGGCCCAAGAGATCCTTTTGTATCTGGCCCCTGCCCCCTCTGATCTGGCCCACACCCCGTGTCACTCCTGACTGCCCGCCAGCCACACTGCATGGCTTGTGGATGCTCCTTCCAGCTGATGCCGCCCCTGGCCCAACCTGAGCTCGCTCAGACTTTGCCACTTCTGTAGAGCTTTCCCATCCCCAATCTTCCTCCTCCCCAGCCAGATGATCCCTGCACCCCTCTTTCTTTGGGCTCCCACAACACCCACTCAACTTTTCTGTAGTAGAACTTGTCACCCCGTATAGAAACTGTGTGCTTGTCTGTCTCTCTCCCCAGACTTGGGCCCCCGGCCAGTGGGGACAATGATCCTGCCATCTGAAGCCCCAATGCCCAATATCTGACATGAAGTAGAATTTCAATACACCACAGGTGAGTAAATGAAAGTCTGCGATGTCCCTGTTCCACCTTTCAAGATATGAGGCCTCCTCCTTGTATTGCTCAACTCTATAAGCTTTGTTTCCCAGAATCCTCTGCCCTTTTCTTAGATTGAACACTATCTTTTAATTATACATTCTAATGTTGGTCCCAGGATGATAGCCCAGATGTCCATAATTACAACATCCCTTCTAAATAGTCTCTTCTGGGTAGGTGCCATGCCACCAAACTCAGGGTTGCCTAAGTTGGATCCACAGATCTATGGCTCTGCAGCCACACAAGGGGATTAAAAGGTGACCAGAGGACCACAAGTCCATCCTAAATCCCTCCTATGATTTTAAAGGTTGACTGTGATTCAGTGTTGTCAGGATGTGATAATGGAGACCTCTGTCTCAGAGAGAATGAATGGATTTGGAAGGCCGAGCAAATTAAATCAGGCACTACATTGGCAGCTCCTCAGGTCTCCTCTCCAGTTAGTTTGGCTCAGAGCTGATTCCAGCTTCAGCTGTTAGGCAGTATGTCCTACATTTACCTCTTTAATGTGTAGAAAGTCCTTAGCATCAAAGGAGATGGCCGTGCTTGGAACAGGCACATCCTCGTCCAGGGCCCCGCAGTAGCTCACGTTTGTCTTCACAGCAAATGCCACAGGTTTGGACTAGGGACAGAACCGGGAAATAAGAGTGGGGTGGGGGGAAAGAGAGAGGAGCATTTTTTTTTACATTTCAACTATTAGATAGATGACTGATAATGCCATGTGGTAAAAAAAAGTCACTTTCCAAAGAGAGATCTCAAGCGAGTTTTACATTGCCAGGCAACATCAAGAAATCTGCAGAAACAACCCTGGAAAAGCTTCAATCCTATCAGCCCAACCATGTTTCCTTTCCTGCAGTGCTTCCCAATATCCCCAATAAAGAACTGTGCCCTGAAGTACTGGGGAAGGATGTACAGAGGGCTGGACATTCTGCTTTGTTCTCTAGTCTTAAAAGTCTATGTTTATTTTTATTTATTTCATTTTTAGAGACAGGTCTTGCTGTCGCCCAGGCTGGAGTACAGTGGCTCACTGCAACCTCGAACTTCGGGGCTCAAGTGATCCTCCTGCCTCAGCCTTCCAAGTAGCTAGGACTATAGCACCATCACTCCCGGCTAATTTTTTTTTTTTTTAATTTTTGTAGAGATGGGGGCTCACTATGTTGGTCAGGCTTACGTTTGTTTAAATGACAGCAGACACCCTCTCACTTTGGGATACAGAAAATGTGTGCTGGGTCTTAACAAAAAAAAAAAAAAGCTGGGGAGGAGGTAAAGTAAGTGTTTTTGAAATAGCCTGAGATCTGAAAACCTGTGGGATCCTGAGCAATAGAAGACCTTGTTCATCAGGGAAGAGAAAAGCCAGTCACAGTGTGTGCTGATGGGCAGGGCTTGTCACACGTCACCTTCTCCCAAGCTAACAAAAGCTGGTTTTGAAACTCTTTTTATTCAAATTTCTCCCCAGCAAAGTGCTCCCGGGCTGGTGCAGCCTTGTGGGGCTGAGAAAACCACCAGCCTAACATAATGGCACTGCCACCCACACTTGGGTGACCACGATGACCACAAAACAGATTCTAAAAGAAAACTTTAAAACAAAAATTAGCCACAAAGGAGATGCAAGGTTCCTGAAATACTGGGCTGCTTTGTTACTGGCTTATTTCTGGCAACATGACTGAGGGACAGCAGCTGAGGCAGGACCCGAGTGAGAATGTCACCGATGTCCCTTCATGGGCACTGCAAGAAAAACCCTCTTGCACCAACAGAGCACAGATGTCATAGGTGTTGAAGCAAATGAAGACGCCCCTTCACCTGCATCATTCTCCTCTCACCTCTCTTTTAAAGACTTCACTATAAAAATAGAAAAAGGAAGGAATGTACTTTATTTGAGCTTCCTTTTTTCTCCTTCTAAAAATTATTTAAGAGAAAGACCAAGACTGCTAAGGTAGGACTCTGTCACGGAGGGCAAAGAGGAGAGGCTGGCCATGAACGTTGTCTTATACTTTGCTAGTGTGCATAAAATTTCATTTAACAAAAGGGGTCTGTGCTAAAAAAAAAAAAAAAAAAAAAAGTTGGAAGGATACAGAATGGGAGATCTCTAGTGACTCTTCTGCTTCTAACTTCCAACTGTGCAATTTGTTTCTTTGTTGCTTCCCGTGGGTGCAGAGATTTCTACGGGGGCCTCTCCCCATGGAATAGCTGAAGGTCTACTTTGGTGATGGTTTTTATTGTTTGCTGCACTTCTCAGAGTTGTTCAAAGTTCTGGACTTCACACTGAACTTGAGGTGGGATATTAAAAGTGAAAAAGAAGGGTAGGAAACCAACAGGGAGATCCACAGAACAATGTGTGGCCTGTGACAAAGACTAAGGTAAGCCAGGCACAGTGGCTCACGCCTATAATCCTAGCACTCTGGGAAGCCAAGGTGGGAGGATTGCCTGAGGCCGGGAGTTCAAAACCAGCCTGGGCAACATAGCAAGATCTTATCTCTACAAAAAATATAGACCAAAAAAAATTAGCCAAGCCTGGTGGTGTGCACCTCTCGTCCCAGCTACTCAGGAGGCTGAGGCAAGAGGCTTCCTTGAGCCCAGGAATTTGAGGTTGCTGTGAGCTAGGCTGACGCCACTGCACTCTAGCCCCAGGCAACAGAGCGAAACCATGTGGAAACCACCCAAGTGTCCATCAATTCATGAGTGGAATATTAAAATTTGGTATATGTGTACAATGGAATATTACTCAATTACAAGAAATGACAGTGTTCTAGCATGTCTTACTTATATTTTCCTGGATTGAGCTTGAACCCATTATCTGAAGTGAAGTAACATATCGGAAAAATAAGCTCCCCAAGTACTCGCCATCAAATTGGTACTGACTGATTAACACTATGGTGCTCACATGGTAGTAATATTCTCCAGGGATTAGGAGGTTGGAGGGGGGAGGTAAAGTCACAACTAAAGGACACGGTGAGCCTTGTAGAGGGGAAGGGGATGCCTCTAACCCTCGCTAGGGAGAGGCAAAGATAAAAAAAAGTAACCAAAATGTTTGTACCCTCATAATACCCTGAAATAAAAATTAAAAAAAAAGCATTTTAGCAAAAAATTAAAAAAAAATGCTGATGTAAAGGATAAGGAGGGTCAAGAACAGGTGGGCTACTGGTACCGTGGGAGGCTCTCTGCCAACGCTGGGCATAGCAGGCTGGATACAGGCCACATTCCTAAGTTGGAAGATGACCAAAGATTCACTACCAAACGAAACACAAAAGGGTGAAGCTTCTCAATAAATGCACCCCTGGAGATGTTCTAACCTCTCTCAGGGGGAAATGGAGCAGAGAACCTTGCAATTGGGAGTCTTTCCAGGATAATCATAAAATGATTATCAAAGAAAAATGTGAGGTAGGGGAAGAGTAGCTGAGAGCTGCTGAGCAACATGCCCTTTTTGAACCAAAAAAGGGAAGACAGTCACCTTTGCTCTCTCAAGCTGGATAGCTGCCTGCTGTTCCCTCTCCTGCCGAATCGCTTCCCGGTCCTCCTCCAAAGAGACATCGGAGTCAGACGGCCTGCTCGTGTAGGAATCCGCTGAACCCTGCAAAGGAAAACACAGAGCAGTTGAAGTGAAGTGATGTGTAGTGTCTTAAGTTGTCACATCCATAACAGCATCCCGGGGTGAGTTCCTTTCATTTGCACAGAATTTAATGCATACACTCTGTGCCTTATTGCAGATATAAATTTAGATGGCAGAAGATAGTTAAGCATCTGAGTTATTCAGAAAGCAGCAATGTTGTGAAGAGAAATATTTTGACTAGATTAAGTACTAGGAAGTAAACTGCAATGGAAATTATGTGATATTCAGCCCTAATTCTTCTTGTTTTGTGCTATCTTTATATTAAGCCCATATTCATTTGTGAAACTGAATCCTCTTCCATCCTCTCTTTTGTATATACATCTAAAGGAAAAAGAGACTCAGCCAATTTCAAGAGCTAAATCCTACCTGTATCTTGGCTACAGGTCATCTGTTTGTCTAAGATTTCAACACAGCAAGATCCTACATTAGTAAAATGATTTTCCAGTTTTGATGTCAACATTATTGAACTCTTTCACTATTAAAACTTCAATCTTTGTCCTATAGCAGCTCGGATGTGACCATTATGAACAGCGAGCAGAAAATCAACCTTGAGGATAAAAACAGGGATGTTTTTAGGTGAAACCCACCCCTAGAAGAGCTATTTGAACAGCACTGAAATCCAGCCTGACTGATGTGGCCAAGGGACTCAGGGTGGCCAGCGTCACTTGGTGCTCATGCCACAAGGAGAGAGAAAAACCAGAGTAGCTAGTTACAAAGGTAACCCCTGCCTCATCCCCTCCCCCCAAAAAAACCCCAAAACACCCTAGAGGTTTGCCTTCTGGCTGCTAAAGGAACATGGTCCTTACAATTTCCTTAAGCTGGCATTAACAGTTGATATCTACATAGATGACGACACTTACACAGCAGAGGTATTGGTAGGACTTGGTGTATTTGGCATGTTTTATAAATCATGCACAGATTTTCAAAAGTGTAGACCTATCCACAGAGCTGAGAATTTGCTATTCACTGCAGAAAAAAAAACTTTAAGAAATAGTTAACTGTGGCAAGCACAGTGGCCCACACCTGTAATCCTAGCACTCTGCAAGGCCGAGGCAGGAGGATTGCTTGAGCTCAGGAGTTTGAGACCAGGCTGAGCAACCATAAGACCTCATCTCTACTGATAGAAAAATTAGCCCAGCGTTGTAGTGTGCGCTTGTAGTCCCAGCTACTTGGGGGGCTGAGGCAGGAGGATTGCTTGAGCCCAGGAGTCTGACGTTGCAGTGAGCTATGATAACGCCACTGTACTCTACCCAGGAAATAGTTAACTGCTGAAACTGGCCCTTTGAAAGTTTTCTTAAATGTAGAAAAGTCTATGAATTTGCTGCCTGTAAGAGCAGCTTTGTCGCTTAGCAGAGGACATCATTCTAGCTGGGGTGGTTTTTCCCATCATAGAAAAACCCCAGCACAGATTTTCCTGGGAGCCTAGAACAAGAATTCCTGGTTAGAAGTTTTTCCAGAGTGTCCAGTCAAGCCCTAGTTCTAAATTCTGCTTCTGCAACACACTTCCGAATATTTTATGCAAGTTACTGAACCACTCTGAGACAGTCTCCCTGACTGTAAAAAAAGGATATTGCCTGCTTCATAGGATTAAATGGAATAAGATACAATGAGTAGCTAATATGTATTGAGTCCTTGCTATCCACACTGGTATGGGGCTAGATGCTTTGCACATCTTATCTCACTGAATCATTTCAGCAAAGGGGAAGCTGAGATTCAAACTCAGGTAGTTTAACCTTTAGAGTCAGCAGGTCCAAACCCCACATCGAGCCGCACCTGACATTCAAATACTTACTCCAGGACCTGGCACAAAGTAGGCACACAATAAATCTCCCTTTTCCAGTGCTGACATTTTTACATTGGTAAAAACAAAAAGAATTAAGAGTTTCTAATCATTTTTCATATGATGTTTTATATGCACAATAGCCCATCTTGAAATGTAGCCATTTTTCTTACTGCATAGAAAACACACTATAAACCTGGTAACTGCAAAGTGTCCAAATCCATGTGCTTTATGCAGCAGCACTTTTGAAAGTGCCCTTTTCAGAGGAGGCGTATTTGTTAACCAAATTATAACAAAATTCCTCAGCAAATCTACTGGGGAAAAAAAACTGGACTGACGGAATGGATAAACACAGAGTGACTGCTTTATGGATGCATTTGTTGCCTAAAAAGAGAGCTACCTTGAAATCCTTTACAATGGAAAGTTCTCTCAGAACACATCTTTTGGCTGAATTTAGGAACATCTGCATAAAATCCAAAGTAAGAGAGAAAGGAAATAGTGTCTCTAAAATACCTATGAAAGCAGTACAGAGTCAGTCCTAGGCAATGCTTCGTTGGAAGTGCAATGTGTGTGGTGGACAATTCTAAGGAGTCGCAAGGGCTGCAGTGAAGACGTCTGGGCCACCAAGTGATTAGGACGTGTTAAGTCAGGAAGGAAGCACTTTTCTGGTTTTGAAAACGTGTGCTGGGGAAGGCTAGTGCCCACAGTCCACAAGAGACCGTGGGGTCAGCAAGTCAGAGAGCTGAGCTTAGACTTCACTGCTGCCACCAGGAGATGGCTGATTTCCTGACACTGCTGCGAAGACTTTTCAAGTCCTGGCATTCAATTATCTCTGAGCACACAAGAAGCGACTCAAGGATCTCCTGCAAATGAACTTTACTTTGAAATGTGAAAAGGACTGTAAGAATCTCAAAACTACTTAATAAGCTCTACCACTGCCAAATATGCAGAAGCAGAAGTCTCTGTTTACTCTCTGTTTCTAAGAATACTGATAGAGGGAAAAATAAAGCACCGTGACCCCATTTTCACAATTAGGGTTTTATCATCGCAACATTCACTCTGGTTTTTTTGTTTTTGTTTTTGTTTTGCCCCCAATGTCACCTACATTTTCTTGGATATGAAGAAAATCCTTGTTGCTGTCCCTCAAAGTCCTAGGGACAGGAGGAGTCCAACATCAAGAGCCCAAATTTGGCACATGGACATGTTCTGCTGGTTTGGAGTTGGTTTCTTGTTTTGATTTATTTTTGTTTTTGTGTGGTTTATTTTATTTCAATTGGTTGAAACAGAGTATGAATGTGTCCCAGGAGAAGGGAAGGAAAAGATAAAGGAAAGGACTGGGCTATTTACAAGAGCACCAAGGGAAAAAAAAGTTGGTCAAGGAGAGTACAGAGGACCTGCCTACACCTGACCAGAGGGAGGACCCAGCATGGTGGGGGCCACAGCAGGCTTGGGAAGACCAGGCTGGGCTGGTGGAGATCACCTAGAGGTCTGGTTAAATATTTAATGACCAAAAAAGAGAGAAATGCCAACAAGGAAATAAAGCTAGATGCTAATAGGATGGAACTGAAAATGTGCAGATTACTAGCCCTAGACAAAGCTGGAAACTGCAGCCCCATCAGCTTTCAATTTTCTAGAGTTCCATTTCATAAAGTGGGAGAGGAGTGAGCGACTCAATTTATCAGGTAATCTAAAACTGGACTGTTGATCCAGTACGAGAGGCATGACAGTGGCTAGTACCTCAAAAGTTCTTCAGCAGACACCATTGCCCGTCATATCTTGGAGTCTCCAAGGAATATATATATATATATATACACACACACACATATACATTTATATGTGTGTATATATGTAATGTATGTATATATATGAAGAGACTTGCAGCAATTACATGTGTGTGTCATTTTTAAAAGTGAGAATGCATACTAGTGAACGCCAAAAGACAGAAACATAGATCTTTCCATTAACATATAGCCCAGACTTTTATTTTTATGTTCAATATGGAAAATAGACCCCAGCCTTATACCTTTCATGAATCTTCTTGAGTACAAAATGCAATATCCTGATAGAAACATTAGAAAATAAGTTAACTGTTGTCTCCTTAAAAAAAGGAAAGTGATCTGAAGTCAAACAATGGAAGGGCTTCTTCTCATTCACAGAGAGAGGGAACATGATGTAGACAGGACAGCTGCCACAAGCTTTGAGGACAGACAATATTGGGTTTGACACTGTCACCAGTTCTTGTTGGCTGCAGATCCTGGACAAGTTATTTTAACCTTCTGAGTCCTAATTTCCTTCCTGAGCAAATAGGGATAATAGTACTATACCTTGTAGAGTTTCCTGAGAAACTTGGGATGTGTTTGATTTGAGATGAAACATCATTTCTCTTGCCATGATGGAGGAAATACAGAAAATTGCCAGCAATTAATCTTTGACCCACTAATTAAAGGTTTGGCAGCTTTTCAACATTACATTTTTGGCTACCCAAGAGTTTTAGGATTTATATCTTGTTCTTTTTTCTTAACAGCTTTATTGAAGTATAATTTATGTACATAAAATTCACACACTTTAGTGTAAAATTCAATGATCTTTAACAAATTTATAAAACACAATTTACAGCACCACAGTCTAATATTAGAACATTTCCACCACCTCGTGCCTTATCTGCAAAATGGGAATGAAACTCTTCTTTGGGATGATTTTGGGGAATGAATAAGATAATGTATGTATGACATTGTGTACAAGCATAATGCTGATACATAGGAAACTAGTGCTCTACAACAGAACGTTTCATACAGTGATGGAAATGTTCTGTATGGATGCTGCCCAATATAATAGCCACGAGACACATGTGGTTACTCCACACTTGAAATGTGACTCGAGAGACTGATACGCTGAATTTTTAGTTTAATTTTTTAAAATTTAAAACTTTATTATCTTTTAACTAATTTCAATGTAAACATCCACCTGTAGGTAGGGGCTACTATATTGGGCTGTGTGGAGTAATAGACATTCAAAATGTCAGTTTCCCTTCCAGAACAGACGAGTGAATGTTAAATTTGGTGTAAATCTGGTATTTTAACAGTTATATTATCACAGTTATATATGCCACTTAATGGACTAAGTGAAATGTCCAGAGAAACATATCACTCCCAATGGATTTGAGCCTGTTTTTCTCCACTGA